ACTAACTAACCCAGTTCTTCATCATTCACCTAGACCGCCACATACAACAATGTCGAACATTTTAAAGCATGAACATTTTTATCTAGTGCAGGGGTCTCCAAACTTTTCAGCCAAAGGGCCGCATTAACTATCAAATATAAGCTCGGGGGCCAGAGTTTCTTCCAGGCATCTCTTCGGGGTGGTATATATATATATATATATATATATATATATATATATATATATATATATATATATATATATATATATATATGTATATATATATATATATATATATATATATATATATATATATATATATATATATATATATATATATATATGTATATATATATATATATGTATATACATATATATATATATACATATATATATATGTATATATATATACATATATGTATATATATATATATATATATATATATATATATATATATATATATATATATATATATGTATATGTATATATATGTATATATATATGTATATACATATATATATACATATATATATATACATATATATATACATATATATATGTATATATATACATATATGTATATATATATATATATATATATATATATATATATATATATATATATATATATATATATATATATATATATATATATATATATATATATATATACAAATTTCAGTGCCCCCACCCGAGAAAAAAGTCTGAAAGAAACATTGTCGTGGACCGACAACACACTCGAGGTCCAAGTTTGTTCTCATATTGTTCTTCACGTAGGTCTACTTCATTCTTGATAAAGTTTGTATGCTGTTCCGAAATTTGAAGGGTACTTTTTTTAATATTAGGAAAGTCTTCCATTGGCAAAACTTACAAACCCCACCAGCCCCTATTTAAACTTGTCTTTAATGAGGTCATTAGCTGGGCAACTGGTCACATTTACTTCAATGGTATTTGCACTCAATGCTACATTTTCAGTTTGTTTTGATTTTTTTTCAGCCACCTCCAACAAATTGTTTTTCCATGGAAAAAAAATCACCGAGGGTCGGATGAGAGGACCCCGCGGGCCGGATGCGGCCCGCAAACCGTAGTTTGGAGACCCCTGATCTAGTGTAACAATGCTGATGTAATTGTTCACATTATTCTTTTAAGTTAAGTCATGCGTTCAATTTCTTTCTCTCGTAATAAAACACTGGTAACTTTTTTTCTTCATTTTTTTAATACTGTGTTAGCTTAATCAATATTCTGTGCCCGCTAATGCTGCGAAAAATGACAATTTTTTAGTAACAGCATTTTGCTTTTATTAAACCACAACATTCAAATGAAACTGTGCATTATATAAACATTCAGTTAACTAAGTTATTCTTAAGTGAATCAATTATTTAATATTCTTTAGCAGTTTATTAAAGAAAAATGTGTTTATACCCCGAACAAGGCCAATGTGTAGAGGAAGAAGAAAATAAAATAAAATAAGAGAACATTTATATCAATGCAGTGAAGGGAAGGTGAGGGGGGGGGGGGGGCAGTCTGAAGTGTGACGTCATTTTAGAAGGGATCTGCTATTGTGAGAAAAATATGCCTGAGGGATGGTGCGTCAAAAATGAGTTACGACATTCATTACGACATTCATTGACGAAAACTAATTTTAAGCCGATGCATGCAACGAAACATGCACCTTAATTTGCATCTAACGCACATCTTCTTCAACTGTAACATATCTTACCTTATAATACCAGGCGGATTATTGTTGTACGCAGTCCTTTCTGTTCATTTTACGTGGCATTATTTTTTTTACAAGGCTCTAAACAGGTCCCTTTCCATTCATTTAACCTGGCATTGTTGTTTTACAAGATCCTAAACAGGTCCCTTTCCGTTCATTTAACCTGGCATTGTTGTTTTACAAGATCCTAAACAGGTCCCTTTCTGTTCATTTAACCTGGCATTGTTGTTTTACAAGAAATCTGTAGATATTGTTGAATATTTAGGATATTTCTACTTATACAACAAAAATAACAACATTCAAGAATACTTGTCCATCGAAACCTCACAATATGTCGTGCGAAAATGACTACATTGAATGTACACGTTATTTCTATTTACAATTTTCTTTTATCCCTTTGAATTCTATAACAGCATTTCCTGAGTAAATGAAACAAACGTGTTTAGCACAAATCATTCGAGCAACGTTTACATCATTAAATAACCGAACATTGTGAATTAAGCGATTTCCTTTTTGTCTAAAATATCAACCGAAGCTATTTGTTTGGAGGGCTTTTTATTCATTTTTCAAAAATCTTTCACAGCATTTGAAAAGAATTATTTCTATTCAGCTTGACTTCTCGTGTTTTTCTCAATACAATCGAAGTCTAACACAATCCTTAACATTTGAAACTTTCACCTTAGAACGTTTGGTATAGTTAACTATTTACAAGCACTCATGCTAAACGCTGACATGCCCGCTGATTAACATTTCGAACACGAACCCGTACAATGAACCCAAAACCGAACCCGTACAATGAACCCGAACCCGTACAATGAACCCGAACAATGAACCCGAACCCGTATAATGAACCCGAACCCGTACAATGAACCCGAACCCGTACAATGAACCCGAACCCGTACAATGAACCCGATCCCGTACAATGAACCCGAACCCGTACAATGAACCCGAACCCGTACAATGAACCCGATCCCGTACAATGAACCCGAACCCGTACAATGAACCCGAACCCGTACAATGAACCCGAACCCGTACAATGAACCCGAACCCGTACAATGAACCCGATCCCGTACACTGAACCCGAACCCGTACAATGAACCCGAACCCGTACAATGAACCCGAACCCGTACAATGAACCCGAACCCGTACAATGAACCCGAACCCGTACAATGAACCCTAACCAGTACAATGAACCCGAACCCGTTCAATGAACCCGATCCCGTACAATGAACCCGAACCCGTACAATGAACCCGAACCCGTACAATGAACCCGAACCCGTACAATGAACCCGATCCCGTACAATGAACCCGAACCCGTACAATGAACCCGAACCCGTACAAACAGAAGACAAATTGACTAAACACACCGATAACTGACAGATAGCTTGACACACTATCTAGCGGCTTATATAATAGAAACTATTTAACAATGTTTAAAACAAACACAATAATTCGTCGAATCTCTTTATTGATGCATTGAACAACAAAATCGATTTGTACTAGTATTTTACCTGACGTTACTAAGCCTACTTGAGCACCCAGCAGTTGTTTGTGATTAAAATGGAAAGAAATCGATAGCAAAGTTAAACATCAGTTTTCTTTATTACGGGGACGTTCTACCCGTTTGAACATAGATTCGAACCCAAGACATTTGGGTTAGCAGCCGTATGCTCTACTATTCAACCTAATGCCCCTTCACTCTGTAAATTATATATTTATTTAACCTGGTAAAAAAAAAATCCACACCCTCCTCCCCCACTTCATTTAACGAGGTTGGTATCACTTTTTTACCAGTGACTATTCAAAAGAAATTATGTTTATTGTGATGCCATACAATTAATGTAGAAAATAGTTGAATATAGCGAGTACAGCCTTGTAGCCGTTTACTCTCTTTAAATGTGTGTATAATTCAACATCCTTGCTTAAAAATGAACCACACCCAACCTCCCCTGGCTAAGGTACTAATTATAGAAATATTCAGCTGCTGTTGTTGTGGGTACCTTGCGTGTTTCTTTTTGTTCATTATTAGATGATATCCTCTGCATTCAGTTTCTCGTTCTACATTCTTTGTTTCAACAAACTGTTTTTGTAAGCTGTTAATTAGTATTGCTCAAAATAATTCTTTTCCGCTGCGGGTATCTATAGGTATTTCTAGTACATTCGCATCAAAATACATGACAGAAGTCATCTCTTAGTATGAACACTGAACTTGTTTCGTGTAAAGTGCCCTTTCAAGCCTGGCAGTTCATGGGGCAGGTGAAATAGAATAAACGTATCAGTCCAGTCATTACAATACTGCTCTGTGTTGCCGCTATAGAAAAATCATTTAAAGACTTTTCTGTTTTGCATAGACATCATACATTAATGGCCTGCTCGTTGTATTGATTAATAATTAACAATTAACAGTTAATAATTAACAGTTAACGACAACAAGCCCCAGAAAGCTAAATATACTAAAAAGGATTTTTTGTTTTTTAACGTTCTTCGTTTTCTGGACTAGATAATGGGGTTCACAAATCTTTAAGATTTAAATCTTTTGATATGTATTATACATTTTTAATGTGTGTATTTTAATGTGTATGCGTATGCGTAAGTTTTTGCATACGCGTAAGTGTATGCGCACTCGTACGTGTGCGTGTGTATGTGTGTTTGTGTGTGTGCGTATGTGTTAGTGTGTGTGCGTGTGTGTGCGTGCGTGCGTGTGTGTGTGCGCGCGCGTGTGTGTGTGTATGTGCGTGTGTGTGTGCGTGTGTGTGTGACGCCCTGGATATGATTGTGTAAACATGATTAGAAGGAAACCCCAGGCGTTTTCAAAATTTCTATCGCTAAAATCTGGATGTATGGGGCTCAATTGAGTGGCAACTCTCATTTTGAAGTGTTAGTTAGGTTTACAATTCTACTGGTAAAGTTCAAGTTCAATATAAGAAATAGATATTTCATAAGGATATGTATGTCGTTATAATATTGTTATAATTATAATATTAAAATATCGTTAATAAGTCTTTAATATGTTAATGCATGTAAAAATATATACTACAAATATAATAAATTAGAGCAGCTTGCAATTTTTAAATGACTGAAAAATTTAAATTTCTTTTTGGTTGAAGATCAAGATCTTGTTGTTTCAATTTCGTTCACTAACATTAAAGATGTAAATTTTAGAAAGCTTTAAAATGAAAATAAATGTAATCAATGGCATACAAAGTAAGTCAACAATTAATGAATCTGTAATACCTACAGACAAACACCGATTTTTTAAATAGCATTTGTATGAATTTAATTACATTTGGTAATTTTTCCTGCAAATTATGTCAGGTTTTCACTACAGTAATTTTAAAGTTCATGCCGAAATACATTTTCAATTATTGTATTGTTTTTGATCTACTACAAACAAATAAACATAAGCTATGATACATTTAAAACTAGCTGTTAATAATTAATTCATCTATGCGTATTTTTTATTTAACTTCAAACATAAATTTAAAAAATGCATGTATTAAAATAAACAGGTATAACTTTTTTTTTGAAAATAAAATCTTATTATAACAATTCTTAATAATTATAAATGCAATTTATGTCTCTAAAGGCATTAAGTATGAATGAAATAGTCAGTTTTACTTCTAATCAAATACTTGTCTTTACAAAATTGTTGGTGTAATCAAGTTTGAAGTATAATGTTTCTATATCTTATAAATTCGTCTGTGCGAGTATCAAGAACATTATACACTTCTCAAAATGTGACTATAACATAATTTTTGCCAGACGAAAGGAAAGCACGACTCCATTCAGTACAGCTATCCATTCTGTAAAATATGTAAACACTTTAATAAAAGGCACCAATGAATATTTTATTTGTTTCTGTCTCTACAAAGAAACGCAAAAATTGTTTTGCCAAAGTAATTGATTTCCAAAGTTTTTCATTTATTAAAATAAATTTCCTCTTGCAAACCTTGAGTATTATCAAGTTAGGTGAACCAAATTTCAAATATAAGTATCCAAGATAATTTGATAACTGTTTCCGTTAGGTAGAAGAAATTTCACATGCTTGGATTAATCTCAATTTTGCATTGACAACCCAAATCAGAAAGTGATATTTACGCTGTGTCCCGTTTCTATAATACCAATAACATAAGTACCACTTCAAGTAGTTTATATATATATATATATATATATATATATATATATATATATATATATATATATATATATATATATATATATATATATATATATATCTTCATACATAGGTAGGCTATAAGATCTTATTTTTACATTCGTTCAAAGTGTGATTTTTTCCTGTGAACGAAAATAGTGATGTACACACTTATTGTAAAATACTACTTTTGTTCCTGTAATCAGCTTTCGGGAAAATTGCCTTCTTGGCAATAGTCGTTGCGTATATTTCGGACAATCGCCAATGACCCAATATGCAGTTAAAAGTCCGTTTCTTTAATATTTGGAAAGGATTTTAATTATTTTGACAGCTTTAAGAGGGGACAACGTGGTAGAATACTAGTGCGTTTGGCTATTAGTCCGAACGTATGAAGTTCGGTTTTCGGTTCCGACTGTAATGCGTCCCTTAGTCTATCCAGCTCTGATGGGTGCCTGACTAACGTCAGGGAAGGTAAAGGCAGCGGGGCAAAATACTGACCACATCAACTGTTCATACGCCGAGATCAAGAAACGTATGAACTATACTTAATCCGCTTAATAAACCATTAGGTCTAAAGAGAAATCTTTAAGTGTTATACATAAAAGAAAGGCCTAAAATCAATACCTGAAATTACACGACAGCCTACATTGGTGCTCGCTAAGAAGTCAGGTTTCTCTAAAGGATCCCAATCTTCTGTAAATGTGTATAGGAATAATTTTATATATTATATATGGGTAGACATACATATCTATCTATCCATCCATCCATCCATCCATCCGTCCGTCCGTCCGTCCGTCCGTCCGTCCGTCCGTCCGTCCGTCCGTCCGTCCGTCCGTCCGTCCGTCCGTCCGTCCGTCCGTCCGTCCGTCCGTCCGTCCGTCCGTCCGTCCGTCCGTCCGTCCGTCCGTCCATCCATCCATCCATCCATCCATCCATCCATCCATCCATCCATCCATCCATCCATCCATCCATCCATCCATCCATCCATCCATCCATCCATCCATCCATCCATCCATCCATCCATCCATCCATCCATCCATCCATCCATCCATCCATCCATCCATCCATCCATCCATCCATCCATCCATCCATCCATCCATCCATCCATCCATCCATCCATCCATCCATCCATCCATCCATCCATCCATCCATCCATCCATCCATCCATCCATCCATCCATCCATCCATCTATCCATCTATCTATCTATCTATATATATATATATATATATATATATATATATATATATATATATATATATATATATATATATATATATATATATATATATATAAAGCAATGTATGTGTATTTGTGTGTCTGTGTGTCCGTGTGTCTAGCTTTTATTCATTACTACAACTTTCATCAGAACGCAATGAAATTGTGGGAAATTGTTGAGAATACTCCTGGGGAGGTTTCTGGGGGAAAAAAATAAAATTCGTCGGAGTGGCGCTCCGGCATGGCGTGATTTGTTTTGTTTTTCTTCAAAATATACGGTATTTAAAAATAAAGTCGATAGCGGTTTCACGCCGTTCATCCAATTGCAATGAAACTTTGGGGAGTTAATTAGAAACCTACAGGGAAGGGTTCTGCAGAAAAAAAAAAACATTTTTTTTTAAACTTTGCAAGGGAGGCGCCCCGGGAGGGTGCAATTTTTCGCACGGTATATAAAAAATAAAAGTCGGATGTGGCTCAACACTTTTCATCCGAGTGCTATGAAACTTTGGGCAGTTGATTAGAACACTCCATAGGAGGTTTCTGTAAAACAATCTTTTTTTTAAATTTCGCAGTGGTGGCGCCCTGGGAGGTTGCGATTCTTCTCTATACACGTTACATTAAAAAAAGAAAGTCAAATTGCGATTTGAAACCGCTCACCCGATCGCCGTTAAACTTTGTGTAGTTGATATGAACACTCCTGGGGAGATTTCTGCAAAAAAAATCTATTTTAATTTCGAATTGGCGGCGCCGCAGGAGTGTGCGATTTTTCTCTATATACGTTATAGAAAACAAAAGTAGGATGCGGTTCGACAACGTTCATGCGAGTGCCATGAAACTTTAGGGAGTAAATGAGAATAATCGCTAAAAGATTTCTGCGAAAAAGAAAATTAAATTTTCTTATGGGCGGCACCATGGAGGGTGCTATTTTATTCAATACACGGTTTTGCGCACAGAGTTCGATTTGGCGCCCTGGGCTTTCCCGTGAGCACAATGGCACCTGCGTTCGTTCTAAACAGTGCGATAGACAATGGATTAGATGGGGCGTTACAGTCGCTCACTAAATTGAATCAGGCGCGTCCGCCGGCGCCCCGACAGTGTGCTATTTTGGCGCCTTAGGTTATGACGTGAGCACCGTGGCGCTTACGTTAGTTTTAAGGAGCCAGGAGCAGCACGCGGCGCCACTGCGGTAGTGTAATCGAGGGCTCCCGAGATCGATCCTCTGCGTCCCTGGCACATGCGCGGGCACCAAAGTCTGTACTACCTCATTATTACGGTTAGTAATTAACGCGTACTCAAGGCTTTCGTGCGGTAGTGTAGGTAAACCTATGCCGGATAAATATGATCCAAGCGCAGGCATTGTTTGTATTTAAATAATTCAGTTTTAGAAAACAAGGTCACACGTCACACTATATATATCACGATGTGATCGTCGTTGTAGATGTGGGAGCCGGTGCAGATGTAGATGACAAGTCGTCTGTCTGTTTCAGTCCCCGTATCTGTGACCGTGTCTCTGTGTAAGTGTGCATGTCTCCGTGTATGCATGTGTGTGTGTGTTTGGAAACCTGGATACGCTTCTGATAATAATATTTACAAATGTGTGTTTGTGCGTGTGTGTGTGTGGTGTGTGTGAGTGAGTGAGTGCGTGTGTGTGAATAACTTATACACGAGTTGAGATTTGGTTCGTGTAATAACGTTTTAGGATAACTGTTATTACAGATTGTATTTAAACATATTTTATTTTTACATGCATTAACATATTAAAGACTTATTATTAAAGTTATTAAAAATTATTCCCTATCTAATTCTACGAAAATCCTAAAATATATTTACATATACACGCATTAACATATAGCTAGCAATGATTATTACCTATCTAATCTACGAAGTTTTTATTCACATTATTATAATAACTTTAAATTATGCAAACAATCAATATTAGTTACCTGGGAAATCTCGAGCGTTAAATATGCCGCTTTCAGCTATTGGCTCCTCGTTATCTGTAAACACCATCTTGTACCAAGTAAAGTATCTGGGAAGAATGCTAAAGTAGTACGGCTTGCCACGTTTGCATCGACATGAGTAATATTCATTGTTATCACACGTCTCCTTTCCGTCGATGCAGACACTCCAAACAAGGCAAATCTGAAAATAAATTGTCCAGTTAAAAAAAATATAGAACTATGAAGTCTTATTTTTGGTTTAGTAATAGTATAGAGCCGTTAACCCCTTTACCGTGTAAAATTTTTTTTTCTTTTGGAAATAGTGTATTTTTTTTTTCATTATTTGATTTGTTATGTTGTCCTGACAAAATAAAACATCATTTTAAGTGAAAATGAGTTGCCATTTAGAATTTATGAGGTAAATATAAAGAAGGTAATTCAAAAGCACAGTACCAACATCACGTGATGACCTATTTTTATCATACGCTGTTGAATTGGCTGTTAGATTAGCCTCCCTCTACATTGTTATTGATTTCCAATGCTATTTTCGTATTTTCGTATCAAAACGACTTAACTCGCGACGCACGGCACACAGACGACTTTTTTATCTGAAGACGAGTTAACTCGTGATGTACGGTTAAGCCCAAGATTTTATATGACGAGTTAACTCGTGATACACGGTAAAGGGGTTAATGTTTGTTATTGGTTTGCTCAGATTTTGTAAACATCCTTGTCCCCATGAGTAAGCACGAATGAGTGAACATCACGACCTCGGTCCCCTATTACTTTAAAAAAATGCTTTTCAAAGGTATTGTACGTTTAAATTATCCATTATACACTCCTCTTTTATTTGAATAGCATGTAAATAATGTGCGCCTGTTGTTTTTTTACTTTCTCGTATATACGAAGTATAGAGAAAGTATTGTAATCGTGCAAAAAAAAATAATCGAGATTTTTACAGATCTCGACGTTTTACACCTCACTGATACGGAAAAACATAATTTTGCAATCTTGTCCGTATGTCTCTGTGTGTGTGTGTGTGTGTGTGTGTGTGTGTGTGTGTGTGTGTGTGTGTGTGTGTGTGTGTGTCTGTGTGTCCGTGTGTAAACACGATAACTTGAGTACCGTTACAGCTAGGTTGATGAAATTTCATATATAAGTATTTTATCAAAATCGTAGATCCGTATCAACTTTTGAGCGATTTCCGATAACCGGAAGTGGTACTTTTCCTACTTTGAATTTTTCAAAAGCCTATAACTTGAGTACTATTTCAGATAGATAAATGAAATTTCACATGTAAGTAAAAGATCTAATTCTCTACCTTCTGTTAAATTTTGAGTAATTTCCGTTGACTGGAAGTAGTACTTTATGCTACTTCCGATTTCTCAAAAAACTAATGTAAATTTTAAAAGTACTAATAATATTGCGCACTATTATGCGCTTTTTTATTTGGCGTTCACTTGGTGTGCAATTAATTTGTCTACGAGATTTTATTCTATTTTTAAAACTTTAAGTATTTAAAATGGATTAAAAATCATGTCTATAGCCCGAGTTCCCATCCCCTGTTATTTTATATAAGAATAGTCGAGAAAGTTTAGGGGAGATCACTCCCGGTTTATTTTAAACTATGTAAGTTTTATTATTATCTAAGGGTAAATGGCTTTCTGGTAAACTGCGTTAAATTTCTATTAAATCTCTTCATGATCTTGGATTGCGCGTTGTATCTTATTTGATATATTGGCGTAGCTTCGAAACCCAAGCTTCAAAACGTGTTGAGAAATGACTTTATGTACGGAAACAAGCTTATGACGACTTTTCAAATAATAGACAAGAGACTTACCCTATCCCAAAACCTGGGTTGTGTACAGATATCAAAATCAGTCGGCTCATAGCAGTAATGGACCCAAAGATCGATGCAAGGAATATGTTTTGCCTCTGGCGGCAATATTTTGAAAGGATGCCAAAAATATCCATAAAATCTTCCAGTGTGGCGACAATTATGCCGTATACAGTCCCTTTCAAATCCAACTATTACCGCTTCAAATGACGTGTTTTTTTCATAGGTTCTGCCGTTTTCTATTTTAAAAAAATGTGAACCATATTACATACTATTAAGCATTTGTTATTAGATGCAAATAACATATTTAAAAACATTGTATAGTAAAAGCTGTATAGTTCTGATTATTTTTTCCCAACGCTATTTTTTTTTATTTTATATTAATTGTAATGCATTGAAAATATTTCACAATGCTGTTTTATTTTACCGCCACCGGTCTAATTATATAATTATTTGTGAATTAATTTTTTTACTGTTCTGGACTAAAAACCAAAGGAGCAATTATTGTTTTGCTGAAGATATTAAAAATAACAAATGACTACACTTTTTTGACGATTTCTACATCCCACCACATATTGTATGTATATATATATATATATATATATATATATATATATATATATATATATATATATATATATATATATAATTTAAATGATATATATATATATATTTACACACACACACACATATTATGTGTGTGTGTAAATATATATATCATTTAAATTTACTTTTTGCAATACATTTAACAAAATATCAGTTTTAAAATGCGTTAACTTACCAAGGCAAAATATTAGAAAAACCATCAGCAATAGAAGCATCATAGCTACACAGATAATTTAAAAAAAAATTTCAAAAGCTCCAGGTTTTCCTTCAAGAAATAGAGAAAAACATAAGTGAGATATGATTGAAAGTTTTTGGCAGCCGGCGGTATAGAAGACATAGCAGAAATAGCGATATTTAGGGTATTTATAAACTACGAGCCGCCCCGTGGCGTCGCTTACGCCGCTATTTAATTGTTTTATTTTCTACTTTTCAGAAATTCGTAATTTGTTAATTCGACACTCCCCCCCCCCCCCCCCACACACACACTGCCCATGAAAGCAGCCGTCCGTGACATTTTACAGACGACAATGAAAATATCAAGCAGAATTAGTTACCTCCCTATAGTTTCAAATCGTTTAAATACTAAATTATCTGCCCCTAATAGCCGTCACTAATTAGTCCCGGTTCTACGGTTGTAAATGTAAACATTCGTCGTGAACCATAGCTCACCAGACAAGTGGGGTGAGTGTGGTGGCTATATGCCTAGAGAGAGGGGGAGTAACGGCGTGCGTTTACGTGGTGGTGTCTCGCATGGTCCCTATGAAGAGAATTATATATATATATATATATATATATATATATATATATATATATATATATATATATATATATATATATATATATATATATATATATATATATAAAGCTCAGTTCTGTATGTAACGCATATGTTTGTCGTTGGTCTTGGATGGATTTAAGTGTTAGACAATTATCGTGCGCATTTGTCTAAATTTATGAGTTAAAAAATTACTATTGAAAGTGTTGGGAAATAATTTTCATTTTTCAAATTATAGTAATAATTGTCGGCATGTTCATTAAACACAAGTTTTAAAACAATATCATCTTTTACAAAAATTCTAACTATGTCTTTATTTAGTCCTATAGCACTTACTTCCCTTTGATAAATAAGGAAAACACAATTACTTCCCTTTATAAAACCATTGCATTTGTGGAAAAGAATTTACTTTTTAATTACTTTGTTTTGGTGTTGGGAAAAAAAAATAATTACATAATTAGCGGGGATTGATCAAGTGCAAATGTTGTAGGTATTTTACGAATAAGCTTGGAGTATTAAAATTGTTCATCAAATTGAAACAGGCGCGTTCGTTTAAGTGTGTGCAAAAGACTATGAATAAGTTTGGGTACTATAGTCGTTCATTAAGCTAAAACAGGTGATTCCGCCCCGGGCGTTTATGTTCGCGTTAGTGTTTTCTTTGTGTTTAGGTGGGTTTGCGTTAGTGGTTGCGTTTTGATTTGGTTCGTTTTTGTTCTTCCTTTTTTCGTTTTTGTTTGTGTTTTTTGTTTGGGTTTGTATTTGTGTTTTTGTTTGGTTTTGCGTTTGGATTTGGTTTGTTTTCGTTTGCTTTTTCGTTGTTTTTTTTTTTTTGTTGGTATTGGTGTTTGTGGTTGGGTTTGTTGTTAGGTTTTTGTTTTCGTTTGCTTTTTTGTTTGTTTTTTCTTTATGTTTGTATTAGTGTTTGTGGTTGTGGTTGGGTTTGTTGTTAGGTTTTTGTTTTCGTTTGTATTTGTAATTGTGTTAGCGTTATGTTTGCGTTTTGTTGTTTTGGTTGGTTGTGGTTTGGGTGGGCAATGCCGGGTTTATGATGATTACTAAACACACAGGTAATGGTCTTTAACAGAAAGGTTTTTCACGGAAGCCAGAGCAGGGCCTGGCCGGGACGGCTAGTATAGTTTAAAAACAGAAGCAGCGTGTCTAGATGAGATTCGAGGCCTACATGACAAACATCAACTATTTTTTCCACCATAGCATCGAGGTGAGACGTGTGAGCGATCTGACCAGTTAGTTTTAAAATACTTTGGTCCATTGTATTTCTGTATTTTCTTTACTTCGTGCACTTATTTTGGGGTTTGGGTCGCAGCTAACGATCTCCTGTTTCTTCTGTCCTACGCCACTTTCTCAACGAGGCTCCTGCTTTAGCCCATCTTTGTAGTTTTTTTTTCTTAAATGTTATGTCGACAGGTGTTTCTTGGTTGACCTTTTTTTGCGCTTATCTTGAGGGTTCCATCTCAATGCTTGCCTGGTGATACAGATTGGCGGTAGGCGCACTGTGTACGCTATCCAACCCCATCTTCATCTCCTAATTTCTACATCAGCTGAAAGTTTTTCTGTAGTGGGTAGATGACGATGTCGGGCCAGCTGATCATGTGTATTTGTCTGAGACGGCTGGTTATAAAGGTCTGAATATATATATATATATATATATATATATATATATATATATATATATATATATATATATATATATATATATATATATATATATATATATATATATATATATATATACATATACATATATATATATATATATATATATATATATATATATATATATATATATATATATATATATATATATATATATATATATATATATATATGATAATATATATGGTATACCAGGGGTCTCCAAACTTTTCAGCCCGAGGGCCGCATTGACTATCAAATATCAGTTCGGGGGCCAAAGTTTCTTCAAGGCATACCTTCGGTGTCAGGTAACTGAGGTTAGTCCAGTCCAAGTTATAATCAGCAAATGTTTTCTTTAACTCATTGAATATATCCTCTCCGGTAACAGTGTCATACATATTATGTAGGGAAGCCAGCTCTTGTGTTATGTTCATGTCTTCATCCACACCCCTAATGAACACAAGCAGTTGAGAGGTGAAACAGCTGTCCAGCGACTCATCCATTGCAATTAGAAAATAGTGAAACGTGCTTGCATTTTTCGCTATTTGAGTCACGATGTTTTCACCAATGTCTGCAACACGGTGGGCAAAGGTATTTGCACCCAAAGCTACATTTTCAAATTGTTTTGAATTTTCTGGGCAAAGCTACACAGCCACCTCTAACAGACATTTTTTCCGTGGACAAAAAGATCTCCACGGGCCGTAGTTTGGAGACTCCTGTGGTATACGATCGTTAGCCTTCCAAAATGGATTAGGAATACAAATAGAACTTTTCTCTCCTTCATAAAATAAGCAGCTTCTAAGCCTGTGGATTTCGCCAGTCTTGTACTTCCTCACCCAATGTATCGCACTACCTAGGTTAGACCAATGGGAATGTTCGCTCAGGCAACAAGCTAGTCTCGCACATAGGCGAAGCTAGGGGAGGGGGGAGCCAAACGGGATATAACAAAAATAAAACTTATGAGCCGACCCGCGACGTATCATACGCCGCTATTTAGTTGTTTTATTTTCTACTTTTCAGTAATTCATAATTTGTGAATTCGACAGTACCAACGCTGCCACTGAAAATATTTGCTTTAAAACACTTTCAGTAGCTCGTTAAGGACGATAACCCCCCTTTCCCCAACCCCAACCCCCCCCCCCCCCCCCCCGTGAAAGTAAACTCCTCTTAGTTACCTCCCCTAAGTTTAAAATCTTTTTAAACTAAATTATCTGCCCCTAGTAGCCGTCACTAAACCCGGCTCTACGATTGTAAACATTTAGCGTGAACCACAGCTCACCAGACCATGTAGCGGTGGGGGTGTTAGGGATCGCGCTTACAGCTTGTTTTCTATCGTCTCCAAGAAGATAATTATATATATATATATATATATATATATATATATATATATATATATATATATATATATATATATATATATATATATATAGATTCTGAGTTATAATAACTGAAATATATCGAGTCAAAGAACTTCACTTTACTTTATTTAACTGTTTTCTGTAACAAATTGTATGGCACCAAAATAACCGTTAAGCGACTGGTAAAAAAACGCATTTTCCGCTATTTCAAAAACCGGGAAGGATGGGTCGCTACGCTTTTGGTCTTGGGCCGAGCTAATTATTTTTACCTAGTTAGCACCGACTATAGGCAGGCTGACACCTTCATTAACACTGTATGTCAAAATCTGCTACAATATTGTGCACAAGGCTCATTGCTAGTGTACCCCTTTTCCCAATCATTTTACATTTTTACTTTCTCGTATATACGAAGTATAGAGAAAGTCTTGTAATCGTGCACAAAAAAATAATAGAGATTTTTACAAATCTCGACGTTTTACACTTCACTGATACGGAAAAACATAATTTTGCAATCTTGTCCGTATATTGCGCACTATTATGCACAATTCATTTGGCTTCACTTGGTGTGCAATTCTTTTTTTCTACGAGATTTTTATTCTATTTTAAAAACTCCAAGTATTTAAAATGGAGTTCCCATACCCTGTTGTTTTATATAAGAATATTCGAGAAAGTTTAGGGGAGATCACTCCCGGTTTATTAATTTTTACTTTCTCGTATGTACGAAGTATAGAGAATGTATTGTAATTGTGCAAAAAAAAAATCGAGATTTTTACAAATCGCGACGTTTTACACCTCACTGACACGGAAAAACATAATTTTGCAATCTTGTCCGTATGTCTGTGTGTCTGTGTGTGTGGTTGTCTGTGTGTTACCGAAAATATTAAAAACATCAAATGCATCCAATCTTTAGTTAAGTCCGAAAAAAAACGGACAGGATTTTTATAACCACATTAACTTTAACTAAGCCGTGCATTTTTTTTTTAATTTTTAATTGGCCTTTAGAATACCTTTGAGAATTTTCTCGCACGCGTCCATTTACGACGGAAAGAGACAACAACATCTAGATCGAGATCTAGATTCAGATTCTAAAACTATGTTTTATTCGTATTTTATTTAGATCTAGTTAGTGCATTTAAAGCGTATTTTAATTTAAAAACCTAAATTATGTTTAGTCTTTAGTCTTAAGATTCAAAAACACTTCCTAGATTACCTCTCAAGTAACGTGGTAAACATTTTAAGTATAGATCAACATTTGTAGAATATAAACATTGATAAACATGATTTTTCTAACTATTTCAATGTTGTAGACATTTTTTTTTAATTTTAGCATTAATTTAAGTGTACGAACTGTATCCGTTCACTAAAATGGTTACGAAAAAGTAAATAGAGTAAATAGGGATTTCCCGTTTACTTATAGAGGAGCAACTTAAAGCTTAGGCTTAGGTCTTGTAAGTTTAAGGTTCCCAAACTGTGTGTAGCGGCACAAAACATTTCTCTCAGGGGTCTCCAACTAAAACAAAATCTACTTTACAAACACAACGCTTATTAGATTTGAAGCTGTTCCCTGTATTTGTCAGCCATAATGTATCAGAAGACAATAGTTGACACTAAATCTTTTTCCGTTCGTGCCCAAGACACATGGAGCAGATGAAGTAGAGTGCATCTGTTTCAATGATCTCGGCATACTAGAGGATAGTTATGCCCAGCCCAGTTATTTCCCTAACGAGTCAGAATCTACCAGAGCTGGGTGGACTCAGGGATCCCTAGAGCTCTAGCCAGGGATACAAACTCGAGACTTTCGGGTTGGAAGTCTATACATATATAGGATAAGAAAGGTTACTGTAGTCTTTAATTGAATCAAATCCGGGCGTCAGTAGCGTACGCAGCGGGGAGCAGGGGGAGCGGCCGCTCCCCCTCTGACCATTTTCAGCAAAGCGGCGCCTTTTTGGAAACTTTTTAAACTCAAAGTTTTAAACAATGATATTTGTTAAAAACATATTTTTGGTCGGCACATATATGTAAATCACAAGATTTCTTTTCATGCAGCAATAAAGCATTATTGTACTAGTCTAGTAGTGTCTACGTTTACAACACTTATTAACAGCTACATCAGTTTGCCCTTCTAAAAATAACCATTCCGATGCATTGCAATGTTTAAAAAACCTCTACGGGTAGAACCACTTTGCAAGAGGGGTGTTAAGTTTAAGGCAACTGTATAATGTATTTGCTTACGAATAATTGAATTAGAAAATGTAATACATAAAACTTCACACATAATTACTTTGTATATACAGTTTGAATCGTGTGATTAATTTATTTAAAATTACAATACAGAAACAAATACAACTGATGTGGCACCTCTATTTAAATTTATTTATGGGCGAACTGCGTAGCGGTGGGGAATTTTGACAAGGTCAACAACGTCATCACGATGAAGTAGTAGTACTCTTACAGTTTGGGCAATAGTGATTACGATTACAAATTATATGAAACAGTTACAAACCCCCTCCCCCATGGACCCCTCTTTAAAAAAAAATATTGTCATAATACCACTGCTACTTATTCAAATCTATTTCTGTAATATATATTTGTGTAATATATATTTGTGTAATATATATGTATGTTTAGAACAGTCATCTAAAAACTGACGCTATGTTCACTCTGAGTTGGTTATCTCCCCCCCCCCCCCCCACACACACACACCTCACCACCACAATTGTGTAGAGAGCGACATTAATGTCACACCAAGGTATACACTGGGTTGGATAATTGACCTAAAGCGACCAGACAGTGGTGAATGAAGTTGAACCCACCCTCCACCCCAATCCACCACGAACTGATCTGTTAAGTACATGTAGAAAAACGCGTAATGATGTACCAAAGTACCATGCCGCCAGAAAATTAGCTTTTTAAACGTAAAACTGTGAATATTGTTTTTGCAATTACCAGTAAAAAGGTGTGTGATCAATACAGTGATCTAACCCATAACTATCACTATGTTAAAAAATGATCTTTAAAGAACACAAAGAAGCAGTGGTTAATTAAAAATATATGATCTGAACTAAAAAGACCGTTAATTAGTTAAATGTAGGCTGTTATTCCGAATGTTTTCTATTATGTTGAAAAAAGTGGTTTTATACCAACTCTGATTTTTAAAACTGTCATTATGCTGTAATACTTTAGCATTTATGATAACGATATATTAAATTCTGATTATAGACAAAAACATTTTATAAACACGAATAGTGTTAAACAATTTCATTATATTCTAAAGTAATTATTTATTCGTTTTGACATTTATGATTAAATGTGTAGATATATACATATTTATATTAAGAGAGTGATTATTTCCCCTATTTCACTTGTCTTTAAAAAAAAATTTCTCGAATTATTATGTAAGAATTTTTTTTTTACAACAATTACAAAACAGATTGTGTTACGTTTATTGTTTTTGGTTGTAGTGTGTGTATATTTTTTTTGTTTAGATTGATACAATTTTTGTTTTGTCGGCCTACATTGTGTGTTTTTTTTCTTAATTCTTCAGAGAGCTACTTTCAATTTATTTTACATCATCGCGAAGTAATGACATATAGCTAGTAATTATATATATATATATATATATATATATATATATATATATATATATATATATATATATATAATACACGTATATAGAATGTGTTAAAAATTCGGCGCCTTTTTTTGCTCTTTTCGCTCCCCTACAACGAAAACCTGGATGCGCCTCTGCCGGGCGTCCTCCGGCAGCCCGACAGGGTGCTATTTGGCGCCCCGGGCTTTCCCGTGTTCGCTTCGGCGCCTACCACATTTGCAAATTCTACAACAGTGATTCTAAAAATCTTTTTAAAAAATAATTATTTTGAGTCTTAAGTTTTTATTTCTTATTAGCTATACGCTCGTTTTAGTTGCAAAATCTAAAATAAAAGTTTTTTATTAATGTCAACAATAATGATGGATGACTCTCGTCAGTCTGGTTATGTCAATTCATGTAACGATGTACTGCATGTACGAGTTTTGGTAATTTTTGTACATTAGAGCATTGGTTTCCGCCGGAAGTAAATAAACTGTTGAATCGCAAAATAAGGAGAAATAATTCATTGTCGTCCTGTCAATGGATTCCGAGGAAGAAATCGGCCGTAATTATTATTTATTTAATAAATTAATCAAACATGATAATTTAATATTAACAAATAGTTAGTTTTAGGTGCAATCAAACCTTTTTCTAATCAGATTAGACTTGTTTCAAACACTTTTACAAGGGAACTAGAAACGAAAACTCAGTCACAAACTGCGAAACAACACCTGCTCTACCTGCTAGGCCCTAGGCCTAGGCTAGACTAGATCTACTACTGTACTACTACATTTCTAGATCTAGAATAGATCTAGATCAAGACTTGTTTCAAATTGTTTTTTTTTTTTTTAGTTTTTAGCTTAAGTTGTAGACTAGTAATTACTAATGGACACCAGCGAGTTGACAAGATTCCTTCCATAATGATAATGACTGTTGACATGGAATAAAAACGTGCTTTTTAGATTTAGACCGTAAAAAAAATAAAAACTTAAGCCTAAAATTAATTTAGAAATTTTATATTTTTAGAATAAATGCTATAAAAGTTGCAAATCCAGAGAACTTGAAAATAATAGGGTTGTCGGTATCGTCCGAGATCGCGGTAAAAACATGACCCGAAATCGCCCATTACTTTCTGATACCGGGCGCACGAGATTTAGTTTTGCATACTAATAAGTTTTTAATTTATGGTAATTAATTAAGTTTAAAAGGTCATTTCCTAATGTTAAATGAAAAGTAGAATGGTTTTCCCATTGTTTTGATGGCTTAGCGATCTGATCGCACGCTGTCTCTGCTTTGGTCTTTCCCCTGTATGAAGGCTAGTTTCAAATACGTTGGAATCACGATTTTTTAAAAGATTATTCTAGGTGAGATTAGATTACTGATCAGACATATCTTAAGTATGTGGAAATGAAATTTGTTTTTGGATATTTTGATTCCGACATTAGTTATACTGCTCCGAACGAAGGCACTGTATGTAGGTCACGCTGCCACCATTGTTATATTTTTTCATCCCGATCTTCCGGCCTTTAAGTTTGATCAACTAATAACAGCATTATTATGGCATGTGCAAACAAATGTCCTAATTTTTTTATTTCAAAATATATTTACATACCCATCTTTAATTTTTTTCAGCTCTAGTTCTAGTTTTGCAGAATATGTTTTTCCTAAAATCCAATTTTATCAGACTAGACTGACAAGAGTCAGACCTAGATCTAGGTTACCTGTCTGTTGCTATACACTAGCATTGTGCTAACTGTAATTTTAAGTATTCAAGTTCTACTTACCCTTAGATATAGTTATATGCTGAAAATCAGAAACCGTGGGTCGGCGTGGTCGAGTCGGTAAAGCTCATGGTTGCTAAACCGAAAAGTCTCGAGTTCGAGCCCTCGGGCAGATGAGGCTCGTTAGCTGGGGACAGCCACTCTTCTAGGAGAGACAACTCCAAAATTAAACAACTGCTGCCTTGTAGTTTGTTCTTGGTTGGACAAAGGCTATGGAAGCAAATCCAAAAAGAAAAGCAGGCTGAAATCGGAGTCAATGGCCTCAATGGCGCATAACCAGTTGACACGTAACGCTTAATTGTGTTGGAGGCGTGATCGAGTCGGCAAAAAAAGCTCATGGTTGATAAATCGAACAAAGTCTCGAGTTCAAACCCACTGGCAGATAAATCTCGATCACCCTCAACACTAAAAATTAAGAACGAAGAAGAAGAAGAAGAAATCAGAAACCATACACAATTCACACATAAAAACATTGATCTGATAACTTCAAATTTTATTACAAAATGGCTTTTATATGGACTCTACTTCACCTGCCCAAAATAACAAGGCAGTTATAGACACATTGCAGTGTTCAAGTCATTTACTTTAGATTTCTGACTATGTAGTTCTTTCATTCACTGTATTTATATAAAATATTGCTTTAGAAACATTTTCATATTTGCGCAGCAGTTTTATAACAAAATGGCTTAAAGATGGAATCTACTTCACCTGCCCAAAATAATGAGGCAATTATATGCACATAACAGTGTTCAAGTCATTTACTTTAGATTTCTAACTTTGTAGTTCTTTCATTTGCTGTATTTATATAAAATATGGCTTTAGAAACATTTTCATATTTGCTCAGCAGTTTTATAACAAAATGGCTTAAAGATGGAATCTACTTCACCTGCCCAAAATAATGAAGCAATTATATGCACATAACAGTGTTCAAGTCATTTACTTTAGATTTCTAACTTTGTAGTTCTTTCATTTGCTGTATTAACACGTTTTTCTTAACTCAGCTTCGCGTTTGTTTGTTTGTTTGTTGTTAAAATTGACATCGAAAATTAGCCCACTTCTGATTGCTCTATAGATCTGAAATTTGGCATGCAGGTTACTTTCGCCTAACAATTTCAGATGCAATCATAAAAACTAGCAATTAGAGACCGTAATTAGCTTAATTTAATTACGCCCTAAGGACCATAAAATTGAGGACATGATTTCTAAAGATACCGACAAGACTGAAGACCTATTGACACAGTTACTTCGGCCCCAATCGATGTGAGCGCGCTGGCCGTGATCGTATAGTGGTTAGTACTTCGCGTTGTGGCCGCGACAACCCAGGTTCGAATCCTGGTCGCTCAAGATTTTTAGTCCGTGTATTTATAAACACTTAGTCAAGTCATACTTAATCAAGTCATTGGATAAAGTAGAAAATAAACTATATAAAAAACTTTTTTTAAAAACCACGTTTTTCATGTGTAGCAACGGACTAAAAAGGAGAAAATAAAATACTTAAAAAAACTTTTTAAAAAACCACGTTTTTCTTGTGGACTAAAAAGTAGAAAATAACTATTTACATACATTTGATGACAAAAAACGTGGGTCGGGCAGATGGGTCGGGAAATTTGATGGTGAACGTACCCACGTTTTTTGTCATCAAATGTATGTAAATAGTTATTTTCTACTTTTTAGTCCACAAGAAAAACGTGGTTTTTTAAAAAGTTTTTTTAAGTATTTTATTTATATAAAATATGGCTTTAGAAACATTTTCATATTTGCGCAGCACACAGTTTTTTGGAGTTATGGGAGGAAGCCAACACAAAAATATAAGTTCTGTATTATTTTAATTCATTTCAACAGCATTTACAAGTTCTATATATCATTCTAGTTAAACTCTGCAAATATGAACAAAATACAACTGCAAGTAAAATAACTATGCTCAATTTATTCAGGTATACCATGACTTGTCACAATTGGCCAATGCAAAAACAAGGGGATTCCACCCCTCACAAAAAAATTCGCTAAAAAAAACTATTTGAGCTAGACAGAAAATCATTTTTGTTTTGTTTTCATATAGTTGAGCTCTACAAGAATATGTAATTTTTATTTTTATATTATGATTAGTGTTTTTTTACCAAAATCCCTAAAAATAATTTGTTGAGTTTAAGGCTACATTTCTATTTATTTTCATCAAGCCTAAGTTATAACCGGATCTTTCACTTTCGTAAGACAAATATTGATCGGCTGTACAGTAACTTAGTGATCGATAACTATTTGTTTACAAAACTTTGCAGATCAAGTTTTTAAATAACAATGCTAATTTAAAACCCCATGACCTAGTTTTCTATTTTTAGCTTACAATGTGTACAATAAAATTTATGGCGGCCTATCCAATAGCAGGATGCCATTGTTTATGTCGCCATTACACGTGAAAACCAAATTGTTTTTGCTTTTTTTTAAAAATTTTTTTTAGTTACCGAAAATATTAAAAACATCAAATACATCCAATCTTTAGTAAAGTCCGAAAAAACCAGACAGGCAGGATTTTATAACCATATTAATTGTAACTACGCTGTGCATGATTTTTAAATTAATTTATGGACCTCTCAAATACCTTTGAGACTTTTCTCACTGGTGTCCATTAGTTAGACCTAGATTTCTACATCAAGAAATCTCAAGAAATTAATTTAATAATTAGACTCTAGTAGATTTTCTTACTAAATCTAGAATTTACCCAAATTTCAAATTAAGCATGACTACTGAATGATAGACATCCATATTTAATCCATTAGGCACTAATTTAGAAGTTTTTAGTTCGTTTTAAACTAAATTAGGCCTACTTAATTTAATATTTATTGACACTCACAAAAATGCACAACGCACCTCTCCATTCTAAGAAGGTCTCTGGAACTAAGACGAAAAATCGTCGGAAGTCATGCATCCGGTCCGTACGCCATATTGTTGTTAGCAACCGGCCACGCCTCCGGGTTAGCAAGAAATATTAATAATTAGTAGGGTTGTCGGTATCGGCCGAGATCGCGGTAAAAACATGACCCGAAATCTCCCATTACTTTTTGTTACCGGGCGCACGAGATTTGGTTTTGCACACTAACAAGTTTTTAATTTATAGTAATTAATTAAGTTTAAAAGGTCATTTCCTAATGTTAAATGAAAAGTAGAATGGTTTTCCCATTGTTTTGATGGCTTAGCTATCTTATTGCACGCTGTCTCTGCTTTGGTCTTCCCCCGGTATGAAGGCTAGTGTTTTTTTTACCAAAATCCCTAATAATTAGGCCTATTTTATTTTAATATTCCATCATAAATCCAGGCTACTTTTAGATCTTGATTCTGGAGCTTTTTGACTTTTTGTTATTGTTGTTTTAAAAGCGTTAGGCCTTAATTACTATATTAGACTAGACTATTGGCAATGGCTAATATTACCAGTTGTAAGGACACGACAAACTAACTACACTAACTAGATCTAGTAACTTGTAGATTTTCTTATTAAATTTTTTAAAATTTTACTTAGAATTTTCTGTCACTTATCAGACTCATCATACACTCATTATTATGTTAAGATTTAATTTTAGGAGTTTTTTGTACTAGATCAATGTGTCCAATCATCAGACTGTTTTGTTTCCAGTGCCATAATTTGTAGCTAGGGCCTCAATTTTTTTACCTAGATCTACTAAAACTAATATTATGTTTTAAAAGTGCTATCATGGCTAGGTCTATAGGCTATACAGTTACACTTACAGAGTTGCTTAATGAGGGTTTTTTCGGGTATTGATACTAACAAAAATAAAATAGAAAATAGTTTTTATTTTATTACTCCCTATCAGCTTTTGAATAACTTATAGTCTAAACCTAAGCCTTCACCCTACACATACTTGTCGGATAATTGATAACTAGTTATTGAAGCTTGCAGCCTAGTTGGTATCCTTGAGATTTTGTGCTAGAATATTGTTTTTCAGTTAAATTATTTTAATTGATAGTAATAGTTCATGGCTTTTCTGTTTTCACCTAGCTGTAAATGTTTTTATGTGGCTACTTCCTTGTTTTATTCTCAGATGATGGCAGCCTTAATGCCTCATTAGATGATAGCAATAATGAGATAGCTGTGAATCAAGATGTAAGTTTTCAATAGTAAAGATTTTAGAAAGGTCAACATTACATTGCACAGCACACATATAATTGCCATTATACACATATGATTGTTATGGATGACTCTTTTATGTATTGTCATCTTCTTCTTACAAAAATTGTATATTTATATTTGAAAATGCATGATTCATGAATGATTTGTTTGCAGAATGAGGAAGAGGCTGCAGAAGTTCACAATGAAGAGGAAGAAATGGAGCATGATAGGAGCAGGTCTCCCTCACCTGCAGCCAGTGATAGATCCATTAGCTCCCCTAAACGTACAGAGAACTTGAGCAGGTAAGCTCTCCCCTAAACGTACAGAGAACTTGAGCAGGTAAGTTCTCCCCTAAACGTACAGAGAACTTGAGCAGGTAAGTTCTCCCCTAAACGTACAGAGAACTTGAGCAGGTAAGCTCGTTACACAAATTCAGTGGTTCATGCCTAGTGTTTGATCTTAAAGCATGCAGTTTACAAGGATGTGTAAATCATAGTGCTATGAGTATGAGCCATATGATAGGCGTTTTGAAATTTAAAAACATATCTATTAAAGTTAAAAGGTGAAGAAAAATTGAAATCTGTTTTAATTTGTGTTATAATTTTTTTTGCCAAATATTGCCAAAAATATATTTCAATACTTCCGGAATGAAATACAGTTCCTTGAAATTCCGTGGCGTTTTTTTTTTATTTAATTTCCCATATTTATGCAGCTGCAGATCTAAAAGTTTTCTCATGCTTTTTTTTTTTTTTTTTTTTTTTAGATCCCCATCCCCCACACACAGCAGATCAGCCAGCCCCCAGTCAAACCGAAGCAGGTCTCCCGGAAGTCAAGGGTCAAGGTCACCAGCTCACAGTGCACCCGCATCTCCCGAAGGCAGCGGTCCACATTCACCAGCAAACAGTTGCCCCGCCTCACCTGAGGTGAGTGGGCCGAGGTCACCAGACGAAGAGCCTAAATCTCCTGACTACAGTGGTGCAAGTGACCAAAATTCTCCAGGTGGTGTTACACTAGTTTAACTCTTCTTTTACGTATTTTGGGATCAACAATTAAAAGCCAAAAGAGTGGCGTGGTTGGGCGATATAACTGTGTATCTTGCCTGAAAGATTTGAGTTATGATCCTGGGCTTGAGGTCGTAGGACATCCATGAGAACACCCAGCTCTAATGGGTACCTGACCCATGTATGGGAAAATAAAGAACATTATCTATTCACATGCCATGGTCTAGGAAACAGCTGAACTCTATTTCACTTACTATCTACTTACCTTCATGCCCAATTGGGTAGCATTTACTATAAGAACTGGACTCCCTTCTGTTTTGTAAGCTTATTTGCTTTTAAAACAGCCTATACCAGCTGATTCATTCTTTTCTAAGGCGAAGTATCCCAAGTCTGGCAAAATGGCTTAGAAACCATGTGAACTCCATCAGCATCACATCATGTTTAGATACATGTACTAGCATTTATCCTCACTTGAACTCTGACCTTTTTTCAGCATCTTCAAGTTTGTTATCAGCATACATTATAATGATTTCTTTTTTTTTTCTTTCTTTATTTTTATTTTATTTTGTAGGTCAGTCACCTGTGAGGGAAATTGAGGATACTCCTCAGTCACCAAGAGAAAACATGTCAAGGGAAGCTTCACCTGCCGGCAGTAGGTCCAGATCTGGTAAGGAATTGATGTTGCTAATTAGCTACATTGTCATTTAACTACCTTTTCTCTAATCTTGTTTCTGTTTGATAATTAGTTTTAATTGGTTTCAATTGAGTTTGTAATAAAAAAGGTTGAACCCTTTCATATTCTTCAAGATAAAATGAAGTAGTATGTAGCTGTTATTTTTCCTGACACAATTTAAGCAACAAACCAGAGCTGGTTGTATTTAAATCTGGTGGACATGTATTTTAATGCTGTTTATGCATGAAGCTAATCATCTGTTGGTGTGGTGTGGTCAGAAGGTAGAGCATACGGCTACTCACCTAAATCACCAAAGTATGAATCCAGGTTCATGTCACTAGAATGGCCCTGAATCCACCCAGATCTGGATGGGTACCTGACTCGTTAGGGAAAGTACAGGTAGCTGGGCACAGCACTGACCACACTGTCCCTTCATTTGCAGAAGTCACTGAAACAGGTGAAATCTACATCACCTGCCCCATGGACTGTCAGGCTCGAAAGGGTATTTTACGGTTTTTAATAATCTGTTACTCTAAGAACTTTGTCTTATACGATTGTTTTGTACCTGATCAGGCAGCAGAGACAGAAGCGCCCCCGCATCTCCGGCAGGATCGGCCAGGTCAAGGTCCCCCTCACCTTCAGGGTCAAATCAAAGATCCAGGTCACCGTCCCCGGCAGCGTCCGACCCCAGGTCCCGCTCAGCATCCCCTGCAGGATCCAACCAGAGGTCAAGGTCACCTTCACCAGCTGGGTCAAATCAAAGATCTCGGTCCCCCTCACCAGCAGGGTCAAATGTAAGGTCGAGGTCACCGTCTGTTGCTGGTTCAAATTCTAGGTCAAGATCTAGAAGTCCGGCTAGCGTACGCAGTGGTAAGTAAAAAAATAAGTTTCCTCATTTTTAATATGCAGTGGCTAGTCAGGTTTCACTACGATTTATCAGTTCCTGTTTTTCTTTCTCATTTTCAAACCTTTCAGTAGGTGATAGAGCCTGGTTTAAAAAAAACTTGACTAGTACAACATTGAGTTTCTCTTAGTGATACATATATAGAAATGGCTGTGTCATGGTTAAAGCTAACAATCTTCCTTTTTTTATTTAGTGTTTACGTTAATTTGTTTTTAAAAACGTGTGTCTAACTTAGATGCTCAGACTAAGAGGCTAACATGTTTGTTTTTCAGGAAGTCCAAAATCTGCACCTTCTAGTCCAAAGAGGGAACTGTCAAAATCTCCTTCACGCTCTAGGTCTGGGTCCCCGAACAGATCAAGATCCGGATCACCCAATAGATCTCGTTCTGGGTCACCCAACAGGAGTCGCAGCAGATCAGGTCTCTTGCTAGTTACCAGTGTGATTGATAAGACCAGAAATACTGGTGAATTATAGTCGTTTTAACAGTTTTTAACGTCTGTTTGTAGGAAGTCCTAGGTCACCCCCTGTCAGTCCTGTTGGGAGTGGTGCCCGCAGTCGTTCGGGCTCACCGCGAGTGTCAAGGTCGCGGAGCAGATCTGGGTCACGCAGTCGCTCTGGCTCTAGAGCAGGTTCCAGGTCGCGGAGCAGGTCCGGCTCCCCGGCCCATTCCAGATCCAAAAGTAGGTCACGGTCTGCCTCGCCGGCTCGCTCAAGGTCCAGAAGCAAGTCTGGCTCTCGTGGTGGGTCGAGGAGTAGGTCAAGGTCAGGATCTAGGCGCAACTCACGTTCAAGAAGCAGATCTGGGTCAAGAGCACGATCGCAAGGTAAAATTTCATCTATAAATAGAATATGTTGGATGAAACAACATGTACCAGAGAGAGTTAGAACAGGTAGACATAGAAAGAACTGTAAAAGTTTTTTAAAATAGTCAGTAACTCATGCTGGGAATGTTTTCAATACTCGAGTGATAACAATTATAGCAAATTTGAAACCATGAAGTTTTCTTATTGACTATTTTTTTTTTACTTTTTTTTTCCCACATTGCAGTGTACCCCGAGACAATATTATAAATAGTCGTTACTGGTTAACATAGTTTTCAACTGAATGCAGTTTAACACTCTTTGATTTTGAAAAATACAAAGATCTTTTAATTAAACCTAATAAAGTTCTTAAATACATTTTCATTTTCAATCGTATTGTATAAAAAATGCTATGATTAATGCCAGTATAAGAGAGAATTATTGGTCATAAGCTGACTTTGGGAGAGAAGGTTGACTTTTTTTTTGGCAATATGTGATATTAAAGGGGACAGTTAAAAATTTACTTGAGAAGTGTGATTTCATTTATTATGGTTAACACATTTCTAAAATTTCTAAAACTTATTTGGGCTATTTACCTTACAACACGGAATTGTTGGGTGAAGATCTATGCTTGTCTTTAATGGTGGGTGGTATTTAGTATAATTCAAATAAAGGGAATTTCTTTCTTGAAAAATTATTGGAATGTTGTTTCAATTATCTAGTTTAGATAGGTTTCTGCAAATTTTAATAAATTTTTTTTATTTTTGACTTTCGTATCATAATTGTTGAATACTTCAATTAACTTTATGTCTATTCTGTGGCTAAATAATACATGTTAGTGATCTTATGTAGATAACAAAACCTTTTAAAATATAGACAGCATGCTAGTACAAATAGCATGTTAAATTTACAGTAGTTCAATATTTTGTTTATGGCTTGAGAAGGACATGTAATATGTGATAAACTGTTTTTGTTTTCCCAGGAAAAGGAAGTGGGGATGAAGGAGATAAAGAGTAAGTCTTCCATTTTCATTGGCCCCTTAGTCTAATCATACAAGTATTTTGTAAATCTTTTATCCACATTTGACTTATTCCACACCTCTCCACCTGACTCGGTTTTGGGCAGCTCTCTTTATTTGTGCCTATGTAAGCCAAGCAGCCTTTGCCTCTTCTTCTACTGTTCCTCTCCTGGAATTCCTAGCCGGCCTGCTTTCCACTTCCCCTGGGGATTCAAGTCTAACGCTTTCCTCTTTCTTATGTCCTTAGCAGCTCCAGAAATTAACATTCAGTTCAGCTTAACATTTTTATTTGTCTAGGCAAGATGAGTTGATTGCAGACATCTTTGGCTCAAGTGATGAAGACGAGGAGTTTGAGGGTTTTGATGCCAGCGAAGTGCCGAAGAAAGAGAAGAAAAAGAAAGCAGGTGTGTGATCTATTTGTAGAGTCCAAAAAATTATTAGTATTGATGCTACAAAATGTATTTTAACTGAGACATTCTGCTTATTGCCTGACAAGTTGCCTTAACTTACGTTCCTCTCTTTCAAGTTAATTTCCCTTTTGCTCAGCATATTCCTCAACTACAAAATCCTCTACTGAGGTTTCACTTTTACTTGAAATATTCCACTGGCCTTGTATTTATCTTATGACTTATTAAACAATGTTTGATCTATAAGCTATAAAGTCAGATGATGAAGATGATCAAGGGGCATCAGGCATCCCTGATGAAGGTGAAGCAGGGGCGGTGGCGGATGGGTCAGATGATGAGAACATGGATGAAGCCAGAAAAAGTGGAGACGGCGATGGGTAAATTAATTACCTTAAGGCTTTTTTCTGAATTATCTTGTGATTAGATGGAGAAAAATTTTGCTAAAAGTATTTTCTTGTTTTATAAACTGCGATCTGTGTTGTTAGAATCTTGTGATAAAAGTATTTTCTTGTTATAAACTTAGAATCTTGTAATAAAAGTATTTTCTTGTTGTAAACTGTGATGTGCATTGCTAGAATCTGGTGATAAAAGTATTTTCTTGTTGTAAACTGTGATGTGTATTGCTAGGAATCTTGTTGTAAACTGTGGTGTGTATTGCTAGAATCTTGTTGTAAACTGTGGTGTGTATTGCTAGAATCTTGTTGTAAACTGTGATGTGTATTGCTAGGAATCTTGTTGTAAACTGTGGTGTGTATTGCTAGAATCTTGTTGTAAACTGTGGTGTGTATTGCTAGAATTTTGTTGTAAACTGTGATGTGTATTGCTAGAATTTTGTTGTAAACTGTGATGTGTATTGCTAGAATTTTGTTGTAAACTGTGATGTGTATTGCTAGAATCTTGTTGTAAACTGTGATGTGTATTGCTAGAATCTTGTTCTAAACTGATGTGTATTGCTAGAATCTTGTTGTAAACTGTGATGTGTATTGCTAGAATCTTGTTGTAAACTGTGGTGTGTATTGCTAGAATCTTGTTCTAAACTGATGTGTATTGCTAGAATCTTGTTGTAAACTGTGATGTGTATTGCTAGAATCTTGTTGTAAACTGTGTTGTGTATTGCTAGTCTCCCTCTCAACAGGATGTTTGTCTCTGACTTTGATTTGATGATGGCGAAGAAGAAAGAAGAGATGCAGCGCCAGCGCAGGAAAAGGAAAGATGTTGATCTGATTAATGACAATGATGACCTTATTGCTGACCTGATTGTCAAAATGAAAGAAGCTGCTAATGTAATGTATTTCAAGTATTCTTTAAAATGTGATAATACGTGGGTCTTTAAACACTATATACATATTGACATGTCGCTTATTTTATATTTGAATGGAATATTATTAACACTGGGCTGCCTACTTAAATGGTTTTGGAATCACGATAATATCTTAAATGGTTACGCTTTCATCCTCCATAAAAATCTAAAATATTGTCAGCATACATTAGTTAATATTGCAGCTGTGTGGCTTAGTACTTATAGTTTACAAGTTTACACAATGATGCATTCCCTCCCTTCCCTTCCAATGTCATGCGAAGCAGGAGTCTTTTGCTCTATGTTGTGATCTTTTATTTACCATGTGAATGTGCTTAGGCCAATGATGAATAATTTTAAATCTTAACCATTGAAAGACTGTTTGCGGAAAGTAGTCATAAGTTTCAGTCATAAAATAATAAACTGGGCAAGTATTTTTATTTATGAAATTCTCTGGGTGTTACTGTGAGTAAAATGCGAAACTACTGCGGAATTACAGGTAATTTGCGAGACATTTTTGTAGAAGTGTGAGAAGAAAAGTTTTTAACATAACAGACCTGCCTAGATAAATTAAGGGGAGAAAATCCGGACATGGTAGTGGGGGTCCCTAAAAGTTCATATTGGTTAAGATTTCAGCAGTGTAGTCCTTATCCATAACGTGGTGTGTGTTTTTTAAGTAGACTACAAAACTACAAGGATGTAGATTGAAATCACAATTAGTCCATTTTTAAAAAAAATAAATTGCTGTTTGATTAACTTAGTTATCATCATCATGCTGAAAAGTTATGCGATAATATAAAATTTGACTTATTTACAGTGGGTTTTTTTCATTAAAAATACTGATAGTTATGGACAGAGGCAGATTATTACAGAAAATCTATGCTCTTGTTCGAGAAAAACATTTTTTGGGGTAGGCAGCCCTGTTAATGGAAGCAGATTTGAACAATTATACTTTATAGCTTTCAGCTCTTGGAGTTTTTCCTCTTCTTCTTCATTCTTAATTTTAGTGTTGGAAGGGATCCCCCTCCAACACAATTAAGGACAAATTTCAACTGGTTATGCACCATTGAAGCCATTGACTCCAATTTCAGCCTGCTTTTCTTTTTGGATTTGCTTCCATAGCCTTTGTCCAACCAAGAACAAACTTATTTTAACTTATTCTTTTTCTGCACTTTTTAATTGCATTCGATTTTATGATACTGAGTATAAATAAAAGGGTGTCTGGTGTATTATTAATGAAATATATAGGCTATCTATAACTATAATATTTTAAAATGAAATATAGCATAGTGATATTCTAATGCTATTGTGTTTTTGCAGCAAGACAGAGAACTAAATCAAAAGAAAGAGGTGTGTACAAAAAAAATCAAGATGCTCCCCTATGTTTGCAACCAGCTCAAGAAGTCAGACCTTCATGGCATTTTTTTAGAATCTGGAATTCTTAGTGCTATGACGGTAAGTAAACTGTTAAATAAAACCACATACGCTCTTCCTTTATGAAGTTGGTCTTAATTAAAACAGCTAAAGGGTTATTTATTATTTTTTTTCTTACCACTTTAAAAATTAAACCATATATATCTTATAGTTTTCTTAAGTTTTTTTGTCTTATATTTCATTTTACTGCCTAAATTCATACTTTTAATTTTTTTTAGGAATGGCTTGCACCTTTACCTGACAAAAGTTTACCACACCTCAATATTAGAGAAAGTTTTTTCAGAATATTACAACAGGTATTGCTTTTTATTTATATTTCTCCAAACTAATAATAAAAAAAAAATTATTTGAACTAAACTTCTGTTCATAAATTAAACTAGAGTAGTCTGAAATAAGCCTGGCTGTATTTTTCAGTTTCCTTCTATGCATGCGGACATGTTGAAATCAAGCGGCATTGGAAAGGCTATTATGTATTTATATAAACACCCAAGGGAGACAAAAGAAAACAAGGTCATAGCAGGGAAACTCATCAGTAAGTTTGTTCCTGTCACTAGGCTGTTTTTAAATGGTATCTGGTTGGGTGGGGCAGTTTTAGATACCTAACAATCGCACTGTAGGTTTTAGTGCTAATGATTTCTAGCCAGTGTCACAATGGAGATAAAAAAAGTCCAATTATTTTTCTTTTTTTTTCCTGGAAAGTCGATATGATAAAATTGTTTTTTCTTATCAGGATAAATGAATAAATCTGTTTCCTTTATTAATCTTGTGGAAGCTGTTTCCATATGTAACCAGGGTTAATCTGTTTTCTTTTAATTAATTGGCTAAACCTGTTTCCTTTAAATAAACTGGCTAAGCCTATTTCCTTTAAATAAACTAGATGAGCCTATTTCCTTTAAATAAACTGGATGAGCCTATTTCCTTTAAATAAACTGGCTAAGCCTATTTCCTTTAAATAAATTGTCTAAGCCTTTTCCTTTAAATAAACTGGCTAAGCCTATTTCCTTTAATTTAATTGGCTAAACCTGTTTCCTTTAAATAAATTGGCTAAACCTGTTTCCTTTAAATAAATTGGCTAAACCTGTTTCCTTTAAATAAATTGGCTAAACCTGTTTCCTTTACATAATCTGGTAAAACCTGTCTCTTGATTAGATGAGTGGTCCCGTCCAATCTTTAACTTAACGTCCAACTACAAAAACCTGTCCAAGGAAGAAAGAGAACAGAGAGACTACGAGCAGCTGCCTAAGAAACGCAGGACAAGGTAGCCACTTGTTTTTTTTCCAGGTTTCCTAATAGCAAACATATTATTTGGTGGTCTAGAAATTTAAAAATGTTAAAATATAACTGATTCCCAGTTTTCCTAATAGCAAGCATATTATTTGGTGGTCTAGCAAATTTAAAAATATAAAAATATAACTGATGCCCAGGTTACCTTATAGCATGCATATATTTGGTGTAGGAAATTTTCTTTGATGCTTAAAAATTAAAACTGCTGTCCAGGTTTCATTATAACTAATAAATGATTGATGTTTGTATTTTCCAAGGCTTTAAATTGTAGAATTGATCATTTATTAAAATGAATAATTTGTTGTTTTACAGTTTGTTGGTACAATTTAGCTTCTTTTACTAACACAGATGAATTATTTTTTTTTTTTAATGTGATAGCTTGGAAGGAGGACAGACACCAAAAAGAGATATTGACAAAGCTTTAGCCGGAGAGAAAAAGTATGTCACTTTTTTTTGTGTTTCAATATATTAACATATTTTTTTCAATTGGTATAACAATATGTGAACATCACTTTTCTGTTGGTATTACAAAATATTGTTACAGGACCCCTTCCCTAGTCTTTTCAAACTAGAACAAGAACTAATAATGAATAAACGATATATGCAACTATTTCTACTATTTAATGCCACAATAAAAATACAACAATTAACCCACAACCACATAGAACACAATTAAAAAAGACTGCCATCTACTTATAGAATAAAAAGTCCACAATCTGGCTACCCTGCTTGTCCCTAATGGTCAATAATCTGACTACCCTATCTGTCCCTAATGTTCAATAATCTGACTACCCTACTTGTCCCTAATGGTCAATAATCTGACTACCCTACTTGTCCCTTATGGTCAATAATCTGACTACCCTACTTGTCCCTAATGGTCAATAATCTGACTACCCTATCTTTCCCTAACGGTCAATAATCTGACTACCCTACTTGTCCCTAATGGTCAATAATCTGACTACCCTACTTGTCCCTAATGGTCAATAATCTGACTACCCTATCTTTCCCTAACGGTCAATAATCTGACTACCCTACTTGTCCCTAATGGTCAATAATATGACTTACGTACTTGTCCCTAACGGTCAATCCTAGCCTAAGTTTTCAGACATCCCATGACCTGCCACCAGCTCACAAAGAATCATTCTGTTCCATCTGCTAACTCTTGCTATCCGTGTGTCTGTGTCCCTACTCCCCCTGGTCCAGTGGTGTAGGCAAGGAGGGGTTAGGGGGGGTTATAACCCCTCCCATGGACTCACGGCACTATATCTATCTATCTATCTATATCTATCTATATATATATATGTATGTATATATATATATATATATATATATATATATATATATATATATATATATATATATATATATATATATATGACTTTATACATATGGGAAAATATTGGAACCCCTCCCACGACCAATTCCTGGCTACGCCACTACCCTGGTCGCCCCCGCTAAGGTATGGCCAGTTTCTGGCCATCCCTGTTGGTGAAAGAAAGCACAGTGGCAATCCCCCCACCCAAGGGTCAACTTTGGTCAAACAGGTGGTAGTAGAGGTGGTGGTCATTACCATATGAACAATCATTGTTGTTGCAAGATTTCAAACTAGTCGTAAATAAATATTGTATTTGTATTCGTTTTTCAAGATTTCATTTATAAGGTGCCAAGTTAACTTCCTATACTCTTTAATTATACACTGTCTTAAATTCTTTAATTATGAAACAATTATAATATTTTTTAAATGGTTAAAAGAATTTTTGACGAATTCTGTTGTGATTCTGTATTGTAATTACTCCTAATATTTTAAAATCTTAATGGGATTTAACAACATTGTTTTTTTTTTTCACACAGAGCATTACGCCCCGGTGATCCTGGGTGGATCTACAGAGCTAGAGTTCCCATGCCATCCAATAAAGATTATGTAGTTAGACCTAAAACAAACTCAGAATACCAACCTCCACAAAAAGTAAGTTGTCGGTGTCAATTTTTAACCTTTAATATTAGTACTGTAAACTCTTATATTGGTGTGTTGTTGTCTATTGTGTTTTCAACTTTCATGTTGATTATAAACTCTGATGCAGCTCATACTGTATGATATTTTTTATCACACGGTCTTTGGTTCTGTACATAGTACTAAAACGTTTTCATCTAATTTTACATGTAAACTTATATTCTTCTTCATTCTTAATTGTAATGTTGGATGCTATTCTTCCAATACAATTAAGTATGTTATGCACCTGTATTCTGTTAGGCTACAACTAAATTAAAGAATATCTGTTTTACAGAATTATTGTACAATCTACCTGTTTTCTCTTTCCAGAGTTCTTCAAAAAAAGAAATTGGTCGTTATGAGAAACATAAGCGTGCATTTTTAGAAAGAAAGAAATTCGCTAAAACTATGAAGGCAGTAACGATAAGTATTGAAGGCCGCAACATGGCTTTATAATGTTCTGTGAAATACTTGTTTGGAAGACCGTAACTTTGATTGATAATCTGTGAAATACTTGTTGAATCAAAAGCCCTCTTTAAGGGGAAGCTCAGCTGGTGGTTGTGGGAGAAGGTTTGAGGAATGATTTACAGTGGCGATTCCATTTGTTTATGTTTTAAATCATTTTGTTTTTTTATATATAATTTGGTTAATGTTTGTTTTAAGAAGTCGATCCAGCGTTTTCAACAAATTAAAACTGTATTTATCTATCTTTGGTTTTTTAAATGTTTAAAACTACTGTAGTATTGTTGTTGTTTAAACTGATATGGCAGTTACAAAAGTTGATGTTCATCTTCTGAAGGATCTTGTAAACACAAATAAATTTAAAATAAAAAGTTTTGGCTTTGTTATTTAAAGTTAGATGCAGTGCTTTGTTTTTAAAATCACTTTTTATGTCTGCATTTATAGTTTTCAATACTATTTTAACATTGTTTTGGTATGTGTCCAATTTCTATTCCATATCTAAAGTATCTGTGAATATCTTTTGCTCTCCTATTTTAAAGCTGCATAAATAGTTTAAACTATCTATATGGAAATATTTTGCTTTTTCAAGAAACAAAACAACGAAAATTTTTAACCATCTAGTACTATTTCTAGCCTTGTTAAATTTGCTTATAATTTTTTGCATGCAAGTTTGTTTGAGTGAAAAATATGGTATGTATTTAAAAAAATGTAAAAAAACAAATTTGTTTTTTTCCAAATAAACCACTGTGTGTCATGCCATCTTTCAGGTATAATCTCATCATGTATACATTTCTTTAAAATTTTGTGGGGTGGTACATCTCCAGATAAAAGGGAAATTGTTGAACATTGATAGTCAACATTACAAGTTACATTAGTCATAAAAAGGTATTTTGGTTTGTATATTCGTTTTTTTTGTGTGTTATTGTTCATTGAAACTGGTGAAAAGTTTTGTAGTCATACATTTTTTTTATAGTGTAAATGTGGGTATATACGTTGGATGGTGTCTCTGATTAAATATTTAAACCTTACTAAATCTTCATTAAAAAAGCTTCATTAAAGATGAATGTTCACTTTTCAACCACTTTTTAAGTGTTTGTTTCATTTAAGTAAAAATCCATGTCTTTATAATTTTGTGGATATCCTAGTCTAAATGCAGCGACCTAGAGAAAACTAAAAAAAAAGCAAGCAACTGCTGCCTTGTAATTTGTACTGGGATTGACAAAGCAAATCCAGAATTAAAAAAACCGTTGAAATCTGAGTCAACTACCTTTAGGGTGCATAGCAAGTTGACACTTAGTACTTAATTTTGCTTAAGTAAATCCCTTCCAACATTACAATTAAGATTGAAGAAGAAGAAAAGTTTAAAATTTAAACTGCTACACAGAGACGAGTTCTTCAAACAAAAATCAAGCCATAACAAGAGAACCAGTGCAAAGCATGTTTACAGTTTTATTGCTTTTGCTAATACAAAATAAACAATTGATAATAAGTGTTGGAAACAATCTACAACACAACATATTGCACTTGGTGGTTTGATTCATCTCTTAAAACAACCGCCCTAAAACATCTAATAACACACAAGAAACATGAACAAACTTGACATTTGTAGTCTGGATATTATTAATCTCAGTTTTCGAATTATTAACGGTAAATAATAAAATTTTAATTTTGTTCATAAATATTATAGGATAAAATTAAATGACTAGAATCTGAACTGTTAGTAAAATTCTGGTTTATAAAGTCTAAATTAAAAACCAAATTATACATCAAAATTTAAAAAAAAATGTGCTTTTATTAATTACATTTATAAAAATTACTCTTGCTACAAATACAATTAAAATAACGATTCTGGCACTATATTTTAAACTATAAATTTCAGACTTAAGTAATTTTAGTAAACATTTTGAAATCATACATGAAAAGGCAGTTAGTACTGAACATTTTTACATCATTAAGCATAAAATTCAAAATATTTTACATTTGTTAATCTGTGTAGTTTTATATTGACCACAACCATATAAAAGCAGAACATAAAAAATGTAATGGGCACTTCATTGATGGAGAAGGGCATGATCATACAAATATAATATAATGCAAAATATTCAGTATTAACATTGTAACATTTCGCTTAAGTTTAGAAAAAACTTCTTCTGATTCAAAACAGCCTGTTCACAACATCCAATTGTGTATCTGTGTAATACACATTTGAAGCAAGACATCCTCATTTACTATCACAGGTGTTCATGTGTGCATCAAAGGTTCATTTTGTACATAGAATTTGTAGTAATGTATATATTAATACATATATATACATAAATAAATATATATATATATAAAATCTTCTGTAAATGCTAGTAGTACATGCAACACTAATTTTTATTGCTATCATGAATAGTGTTTAGGGTAGAGATGCTAGCTAAAAAGGTGCAGGATTATGGTCACCATACTAGCAAAAGCAGGTTTCAATTAAAGGACTGTGGTAAAAAATTTCATAATTAGGATTATGGTAACAAGTGTAGCAAAAATTGCTTTCATACTTCGTACTAGCATTCTTCAAAGGACCTTATATTTTTATATATATATATATATATATATATATATATATATATATATATATATATATATATATATATATATATATATATATATATATATATATATATATATGTATATATATGTATATATATGTATATATATATATATATATATATAAGAAAAACTATCTTGTTACAAAACAATGGATTTCTAATTATTATAAAAAATAAAAAATATATACATAATTATAATTTTCATTATAATTATCAGTGTAATAAGTTGTTTTAATCTGTAGCTTTTTACAAATTTTTTTTAGAAAGTAGAAAGAAGTGTTGGGAATAGTAAGACTTTGATCTAAAATTAGTTCCTTGTTTTGACTAAGGGTAGAGAGCAATATGTTCCTATGAAGAATTAAAGAATGTTAGAGAATTAGATCTAGATCTAATTACATGAAATAATATAATAATATACATGGTATTTCTAGGTAAAGGAAAGTGAAAAAACATTTTTCACTTCTGAAGAGCTTTAAAATATATAGAATCTATATATATATATATATATATATATATATATATATATATATATATATATATATATATATATATATATATATATATATATATATATATATATATATATATATATATATATATATATATATATATATATATACAATTCCATAGTAAAAAAATTATTATTAAAAGTGAAGTGTCTACAAGTAATATTATCTTAATGAAGAGATACAAAAATATAAGTTAAAATACTAAAAGAAAAATATTCATGACTTAATTAAATAATCACTGTACCACAAAAACTATTATATAAATTCAGAAGACATTAAACAGTGAAATCTATCATTCACAACAGGAATTCTTATAAACATATTATTTACAACAAAATTACATTCAATTTTAAGTGCATAAATTATTAAAGCGTTACTGAAACATTTCTATGTACATTAAATTGTTTTGATAAATCAATTGGCATTATTATACCAATTATAACCAAGGCTCAACATTATACTGCATGCAGAATAAAAATAAATCTACATATTTTACACTTAACTTTATAAGTTAAAATTCAATCATTGCTTGTTTGTAATATGTCATTCAGCATATTTTAGGTAGCAAGCAATGTAAGTGTCTTTATCACAGCGTGTGATCTCTAACATGGGGGTGATCACATTTGTTTTTTGTTTAACGCAGAAATAAGTTATCTCTTAACAAGTAACACAGCTGATGCAAGATGAGGTATTGAGGCAATACAAGCAACAGTACAAAACTGATGTTACTTGCTATACAACAGTGGCAATGGCTGCCATCCCAAGACAAGAATTATGCACATACCTAACAGATCGCACTTTTTCCTTCAATGACTTAGTACTGAAACCTTCAATCATATTGTAATATACACACCTTATTCGTATTATACTACCTCCGTTATGATGAAATTTTTCATTCATAATGTTCAAATATTTCTAGTTTCTGAGACTTAATTGTTTTTAAAATTTTGAATTTTATGTTTCATTAAAAATCAAATTTAAAATTTCTTGTCCGGCACTTTAAAAATTATTTTTTTTTCCTAAAACAGGATTTTTTTATCTTTAAATAGTTTTTGCTGGGGTCGCACCCCCCATGCTTCGTCTCTGTTTGATAGCGTTCCTTGATCGCAGTTTTTTACTGTTGGGATGGCGGATCTTGTGAGGCTTCCTCCCATTGGAAATATTGGGATGCTGGTAGTTAGGTATCTCATTAGTCTGCAGGTCGCCTGAGGGATTGGTTGGGACTTGGTTGGCTTTCTTTTTCTCTTCTTCTCTCTGCAACATCTTTTCTTTCTTCTTATTCAGCCGGATCTGCAATGGGAAGTAACTGTGGTAACCAAATCCAATTCATGACTATTTCATCACATAATTATCTTTTCTTTCCACCTTTTCAAGGAAATTTGATTAACATATATTAGTTATAACCATATGATTTATAAATATAATTTAAATATCTTATAAAACAATTTTCTGAATGTGTATGATTAGAGCTACATATTCTACAACAACCTGGCAATATGTTGAATGCCAGATTTTCTTTTCTTTCTAAGTGATCCCAAAACAAAATTAGTTATGGGGAATTGAGGGCCCATTCTTAGCTGCCATGCCACTTTCAATGTGGACAGTGTTGACAGTAGGCTAATATAATCAAACAGCCTGATAGCAATTTAAATATGCCTATATTTTGAAAATGTGGGACACTTTTGGGGAAGTCTGTGTCTATAATTTTAAACCTGTGGTTGAATCTTACAGAAATAGTATTTCTGAAATACCATCACTAAAAAAAAAAGAAATAAAGCTTTAGATTTAATGTATTGTCTGTCCTGAAAATATTTCTTAAGAACCAAACTAAAAATATTTTTAAATGACTTACATTTCTGGCTTGCTGTTCAGTTGATCGGATATGAGCCTCTACGCTGTTGATATGGTTGAAATATGATTTATTCTTTTCATTTGGGCTCATGTCAACCCACTTAATTCTTAGTTCATGAATATCCTTCTGGTAACTGATCAGCTTGCGCCTCAGTTCCCGAATTCTTGAACAGGGAATGGAGTTGTCATGTCGACACTGAAATAGATAATTTAAAAATATGGGCTTAGGGGATCATCTATAAATGACCTAACGCTTTTTAAAACTATTTTTACCCCCCTTCCCTCCATCACACATCGTCACAAAAAGCCAGACCCCCCTAAAATGACATCTCACCATAACCTACAACCCCCCTCGAAATTGCAGTTGAATTTTTTCTTAAAACATCAATATTTTTTCTAAAATCTTGTCTGAACTCAGTCAATGTAGAGTATTTTAATCAATACCCATTACAATTTTTTTTTCTAAAACGCAAAAATATTGCTTTTTTATAATGTAAAAGTGTGTCGTCACACTATCTGAACCGCCTCCCCCTCATCACACACCGTCACAAATTTACGTACCCCCCTCCTCTACAAGTGTGACATCATTAATAGACAACCCCTTACATTTGTAAGAAACAAAAGATAAAACTATAAATACTACATTAACAATACAAAAGTTAGCTCAACAACAAAACAAAACCATTGTCAGAATGATAAAAAAAAAAAAATGGTAGCTCAATAGCTAATTAATAAATTATTGTTCTTTTACTTAAGCTTAACATAAAAATTAGAATTATTTACTCAACAACATAAAAGTATAATTCTCAATGAAAGACTAAAAAAATTTCTTTAGTTCAGCAGTAAATAAAATTGTTTATTTACCAGTTTTGACATCTTCTTGGACAGGGCAACGGCCTGATGCAGCTTGATCTCCGTCATGGAAATGTTTTCCCACAGTAAAGGATTGAAAATGCGGAACCCTGTTAAACAATGAAATGGGACTAAATTTATGTTTCTTAGTTAGTAACCACTCATCTTACATGTCTTCTTCTTCGTTCTTAATTTTAGTGTTGGAAGGGAACACAATTAATTAAGTATATGTTTGAACTCAAGACTTTTCGGTCTAGCAACCAAGAGCTATAGGGCTGGTAAGTAGGTCACCAACCAGTTCTATGGCTCATGCAGGTTTTATTGAGCCGTAGAAGTGGTTGGTGACCTACTTACAAGTCCTATACCGACTCGACCACGCTGACCCCTTACATATAATTTTAAGGTTTAATGTAGCATGGCTATATTCATGTTTTGTAGATAGTCTGTCCAGAGGCGTAGCGACCCTTCCCGGCGCCCGGGGACAAACTTTCGATTTGCACCCCCCCACTCGAACTTTTCATTTGCACCCCCCCCCCCTCAAACAAACTTTCAATTTGGGACATATGTCCCCTCCTGCCCCCCCCCCCCTCACTACGCCTCTGAGTCTGTCAAGTACGGCTCCTATAACTGGACTAAATTATGCTTCATTATTTTTTCTAAAATTACACATCTTAACTAAGTGGCAATACCATAGCAAGAAGGGAAGGAGTAGTCACTCTGCTCTTAGCAGCAGTTTTTTCAGTCATACGCTATGGACGAGCGGGATGAAAGGACATTCTATACAATGATAAAGTTCTCAACTTATGTCTAATATGGCATTGAAAAAAAGCATTTCATGTTTTATATTGCTATTTCGGTTTACAGTCAATAACGACATCCTTGATGTCAGCAAATTTAGCTTGCTAAAGACTGATATTGTTCAAAATATTCCCTACAACAACATTTACCATGGATGGTGTGGTCAGATGCTAGTCTGCATGACTTTTTAAATCTTGGGTAAGGATCTCAGGTTCAAGTCCTTAGGAAGAACATGAGTCCACCTAGCTCTAATGGGTACTTGACTCATGGTATGGAATATAAAGGTAGCTGGCATAAACTCTACTTCATCTACCCAATGAACCACACAGGATTATAACCTAGCTATGCAATCAGACATCTAGTAAAAACATATATAAAAAGCTAACAGATAAATATTTTCTTGAATTCTAAATTAATTATTCATCAAAAGTGTCTGGTTTTAAAAAAAAAACTTACCAGAATCAACAGTATCTACGTAAGGGTAGAACTCATAATTCAGGTGGGGTGTGATTTTTTTCAGGTTAATTTGATCCATCGTTACTTGACTCTCCCACTCGAGAATCTCAACCTCCCTCAGAGCTCGGTCGAAGTTGTCGATATTAAATTTTTTCACTTGTAGGTCTTTTTGTTTGGCAGTGGATAAGCTGATAATCTGTGATTATAATTTATGAGTTTTAGTGGATAAGCTGATAATCAGTGATCAAGATTTGTGAGTTTTAGTGGGTAAGTCAATAATCTGTTATCAAGATTTGTGTGTTTGGCAGTGGATAAACTGATAATCAGTGATTAAAATGTATGAGTTTGAGTGGATAAGCTGATAATGTGTGATCAAATTTTTGTAGTTTTAGTTGTGTTTTATATTAAAAAAAAATTCTTGACTGTTCACAATCTACTTTGTAAACCTATAATTTGGACTGATGTGAAAATCTGCTATCAAAGAGGGGGAGGGGGCAATGTATGTTAGAGATGAATCAATATGCTTATTTTCTACTAGACCTTAGTAAAAGTGAATAAATAAATTTATAAAGTGGCATAAATTTGTGACATTAGTGTAGGGAACTATGACAATTTTGAAATAAGGGATAAAAATCATCTAAATACAGGTATATTCTTCTTCTCTTCTTAATCCTGTTTATGCCCACAACACATGGGCAGATGAAGTAGAGTTCATCTGATTCAATGACCACGGTATATGAAGGGATAGTATGGTCAGCACTATGCCTAGTCGCTTTTTTGTTTCCCTAACGTAAGTTATGTACCCATCACAGCTGGGTGGACTCGGGGACGTTCAACTGATTTGAACCCAGATTCGCACTCGAGACTCTTGGGTTAGCAGTCTAGCTATCTACTGCTAGGCTACGCCGTCCCACACAGGTGCATTAAAAGTAAGTATAAGACCAAGTATAAGTCTACTAAGCATGTTTAGTTTTGTTTTAGCAACTTCCCCATGCAATTGATACAATAGCTATTAATAACCCATCCAATTTAATTTTCACCCAAATAATGCTGAGTACCCTTGAGTGCTGAATGAACTCACTGTCACTTTATTTGGTTTGCCTACAGCCCTGCTAATGGCCCTCATGTAGTCAGACATCTTTGTTGAGAGCAACTGGATGGTCCTGGAGTAATTGGCAGTGTTAACGTCAGAGAAATGGAACTGGACAAACATTATCTCCATTGTCCCATAGAACCGGTTTTTCAAGTAGTACTTATCTCTGTGGGGGAAAAGAAATTAGAACTACTAGATAGATTTCAGTTTTTGTCAACTAGATGTAGAAATAGAATAATGTTTCACTTCTGAGAGAAGTAATAGTTGGCTACAATAGCATTTATAAAAATGCTTCCACAACAACAAAATTATTTTGAAAATAGGGGTTGTCCATAAATGACATCACACTCATAGGGGGAGGGGGGTCTGTAATTTTGTGACATTGTGTGATGAGGGGGTCAGGTGGTGCGATGTGGTGATGTCACACTTTTGCATTATAAAAAAGCAATATTAGAAAATTAATTTTAACCGTTATTTCACTTTTTAGAAAACTGTTTTAATAAATTGTAATAGAAATTGATTAAAACACCCTATGTTGACAGTGACAGAGTTCTGACAATATTTTTGAAAAATATCACTGTTTTAAGAAAAATTCAACTGCAATTTTGAAGGGGGTTGTAGTCTGAGGTGTGACGTCAATTTAGGGGAGGTCTGGCTTTTTGTGACTATGTGTGAAATTGTCCTAAAAAGCATGACATCATTTAATGACATTTATGGATGACCCCATACATTAACAATAGGTTAACAATAAATACAATTATTTTGAAAATAGATTAACAATAAATACAAAAACTTTGGACTTTAAAAAAATCAACCTACTGTTAAATAGATCAGTGTTTGGTTAGTGAGGCAATGTGAATGTATAATCTTAAAAGAGCAAGTCAAGGGTTAGTAGACAGGGGTATGGGTTACAGCAACATGGGTCAGGAAGAGAGTGTCACATAACACTCCAATTAATAATTTACTTTCTTTTTTTTTGAGGAGAGTGCTAAATAAAATTAATTTTAAAAAGCTATAAAAATATAGATCTAGTTAATCAAATTTGACAATAAAAATAGCCCTTTAAAATAAATATTCTCAAACTATGCGACAGAGGAATTAAAATATGGATCTTATTTATGTAATAATAAAATACATACGTGAAATAATTTTCAAAGCCTTCACGAACAGCTGGTGTGTCTTCAAGGGAATCAAAAGAGCTTCTGTAGTATTGAATCGATGCCCGAATCAAAGTTTTGTCAGTAAAATCTAGCTTGCTAGAAATCTCAACCTGTTACAAAGAAAACAAATGTTTCAGTATAGGCCTATTTCAGCAATACAGCCAGAGTTTCTTTCAGGCATCTCTTCGTGGGGGCTAAGCCTCCTCGAAATTTTTTACCGCCCACCCCCCCCCCCCCCCGAACGAAATGAAATTTATATAATTTATATAGAAAATATATACTTTTAACAGTGTCTGCCCCCCCCCCCCCCCCCCCCCCCCCCCCCCCCCGAAAAATTTCAAGTGCCCCCCCCCCCCCCCCCCCCCCCACCGGAGAAAAAAGTCTGGAAGAAACACTGAATACAGCAACATGATAAAGTTTCAGGACATGTGGCAAAAGTTTTTAAAAAAGGGCAAAAAATTTAAAAGGGCTAATAATTTAAAAGGGCTAAACATCTGAAAGGGCTAAAAGTTTAAGAAGAAGCATCAACAGAGTTCCTAGATCTAGATCTATATTTTTTTTTAAAAAGACTAAAAGTGTAAAAATAGGCAAAAAGTTGTAAAGGCTTAACGTTTTTTTAATTTAAGTTTACAAAGGATCCAAGTTTAAAAAGGCTTTACAAACATTAAAGTTTTAAAATACTAAGTTTTGAAAAAGCTAAAATTTTTAAAATACTAAACTTTAAAGTGATAAAAGTTTTAAAATGCTAACTTTTAAAATGCTAAAAGTTTTAAAAAGCTAAAAATTTTAAAATGCAAAGTTTTACTAAGTTTTAAAAAAGCTAAAAGTTTTTTAAAAAAGTAAAAAGTTTTAAAAAGTAAAAAGTTTTAAAAGCTAAAGATTTTTAAAAGAGTAAAAAAGTTTTAAAAGCTAAAAATTAAAAAAAAAAAGTAAAAAGTTTTAAAAAGTAAAAAGTTTTAAAAGTTAAAAATTTTAAAATGCAAAAAATCTTAAACTGCTAAAAAGCTTTTAAAAAATTAAAAATTTTTAAGGACTAACATCTACAGGTTCTTTAAAAAGGTCAAAGTTCAAGGACTCACCGCCACACAGTCCCCGTGAATGAGAATACCCAGATACGAGGCTGCCTCACCCCCACACAGGCCGATGTGTGTGATGATCTGCAGGGGGTCGGTGATGAGCACGTTTCTGGAATCTTCCTGGGGCCCGCAGGTGGTGGGTCACAGTGCCTGACTGCTTCACGCTGCTGAAAATGTGGAAGTTACAATTTGTTTTTAACTGTTTGGTGGAGAAATGCCCAGATTGACATAGTTGATATATTTTTAGCAACGATCACTGAGTTTCTTTTAGGCATCGCTACGGAAGTGGGACAGTGCCACTCCCCACCCCCTCTCCGAAAGCACGTCAACACCACTCCCCCCTCCCTCCCTCAACATAATGGTAATAATAATTAGAAAATATATATATGACCATTTTCCGACCACCCACCCGGGAAATTTTCAAGTGCGCCCCCCCCCCCCCCTCCCCCACCCCGTTCAGGGAAAAATGTCCATAAGAAACATGGAACTTTCACCACCCAGGAAAATAAATATCAAATAGGGAGCATCTACAGAGTGCTTTCAGATATTGGCTTGACAGAGTGTCTACAGATATTGGTTTCACAGAGTGTCTACCGATATTGGTTTTACAGCGTGCTTACAGTTACAGATAATGGCTTGACATAGGCATAGTTACATTATTACACTAAGATAAATGTAGCTAACTACATTTTTTTACTGAAAAATTCAAACGCTGACAAGCTTCACCACGCATACACTATTTATATATGCTCCGGGGAATGATATTGTTGTAGTAATGCGTTTCTATGTAAGTTATAAATGTGTGCCAATTGTTACTTTAAGATTGGTTACTGCACCAAACGTTAATTCATGAGAAAACGCAGTTTTTAAATAGGGTTCGTCTATGAAAGACATCAAGCAACTGAACAAAGATGAGATGTAATCAATGAGGATGATACTGCGAAGGGATAGGGAAAAGGGGTTGGGGTATTTTGAACACATCGTCACGTATCCAAAAATTAAATATGAAAACATTTAACTAATGCTTATTTAGGGTGTTGTATGGAAATAACAATGGGTGAGGGGGGGGGGGAGTTTTGTTGCAGGTGACCCGTTAGTTATAAGAGGGGTGTAATAAATACTGCGTGACTTTAACCCGTTTTGACTTTTACTCACAGTAAATAAAAAGCATCAGCTACTCACCACTGCCTGATTTCGTTGACCGTTAAATTTGTGTTGTGTGGCAGGGCAAACTTGACCTCTCTGGTGGGGACAGTCGCCCAGCTCGAGGTAGCTGTCGAACTTGCGATGGTACTCGAAGGCTGTAATCTCCATTCTTGAGGCGGATACTGGGTGGCTGTAGGGAACAAACAAAAAAAAAAAAGGTTATGGTAAACTCCCTTAACATAGGTTATCTCCCCCTTGTTACTACTAAATTGATAACGCAAACGATTTAAAAAAAAAAACTAAACCATACATAACAAAACATTAAATATATTTGTAATCCATTTTAGAGGTCAATGGAGATAGAGAAGGGGGGGAGCCAGAGGATTACAATTAATTTCAGATTAAAAGTTAACATTTAAAAATAACAGCTTTTGTTTTTTTTAATCCAATACATACTTTTTTTAAATTATATTTTACACCTTAGGATTGCAACCGCAGAATCCATTCATGTTTTTTTTATTTTTTGTTTGTTTTTTTTTCCCCCAGAGAAAATCTCTTTTTACTCTAATTAAATTATCTTTCGTTTTCTACACTTACCGAGACCTATCTTACTGAATTAACCCAACCAGCGTACTCGTTGTTTTTGTTTTGTAAACAGTTCTAAAATGTGTGTGTGGGGGGGATGGGGGAGGGTGAAGGGTGAAGGGAAATAACAAGCTAACCACAGTAACCAGCCAAGGACAGTGACTCGTGATTTAGACAAGTACGACAACTCCTGGCTTGTGAAGGATAAAACGCACAACTTAAAAAGATATAACGTAAAAAAATAAATAATGACATTACGCCTTCTTAGGGGATCATGGAGTACATGTCAAATTAGCATTTTCGCTTGAGTGTGTGGGAGGTGTGAGGTGGTAATGGATGTGGGGGTACAAAACACGGAGATGCTTATGATTTTAACGATTTTTTTTTAAAAATCTGCGGCTCCCATTTTCGAGGAATTAAAAACAAAACAGGTTTGTTTACGTGAAGGTAGATATGCAGCAACAACGTGAAGCTATCTGTTGTGAATTGGAAAAATGTCAAGATTTACTCGTAAGCCGATTAGCCGTACCCTTTCATCGTGTTTTCAAATACCGCAACTAACTTCAAGATAATAAACTAATTACTCCTCCCCCACCCCCCCCCCCCACACACACACCCGTTTCGTTTCATTTTCAACAACTTTATAAGATGATCCCGTTTAAAGTAGTCCAGGTCTACTGAAGTCACTTATGAGAGTTCAAATATATTGAAATTTAAATCTAACTCTAGAAAAAAATGTCAATGAAAACCTTATGCCTTCACATAATCCGGAAAGTTTAAATATCGTAGACGGGGAATCTAGCTGTACGCGGATGTGGGTAATGCTAAACGATACATTCATAAATTGTATTTTCTCCGGTGAAAATATATTTTGGTAAGAATCAGTGGCGTAGCGATGTTGGGTGTCACCCGGTGCGGCACTTAATGGTGTCACCCCCTCAGAGGCGTAGCGACTCTTCCCAGGGACAAACTTTCAATTTTCGATTTGCACCACCCCCCTCGAACTTTCGATTTGCACCCTCCCTCGAACTTTCGATTTGCACCTCCCCCCCTCAAACTTACGATTTGCACCCCCCCCCCCCCACCTCGACTTTTTCTCTATATATTTTACTATTTTTTGCCTTGGTGTCACCCCCCCCCTAAATGGTGTCACCCGGTGCGGTCCGCACCCCCCCGCCCCCCCCCCCCCCCCTCGCTACGCCTCTGGTAAGAATGCCACACTGTGTTTGCGGAGTTACACAAATTCAGTCCCCGTTATGTGTGAGAAGAAGTTCCGTCAACGTTTAGCGAATGTAAGACAAAAACATAATAGAAGACGGTGTAAATGAACTCTTCGTCGCCGAGTTATTTCCTCAAGAATGAGATCAATCGACAATTAGTAATTGCCCTGAACACACCCAATGTTAAGTCAACATTATTACCGGTGTAAAGATACTAAACGTTCCTTAACGATCGAGTTTTGTGTTGTTTATTTATTAATTTTTTTAACAAGATAGGATATTTTTTTTTCTGAGTCGGCGGTCACCTGATGTCAGATGTATTTGGGTGGGAATTTTGTTTTGTTTTTTTAAAAATCCGATTTACGGTGTTGATGGAAGATGTTTTACCAGGATAAAAAGAACATCAACAGAGAACGGATTAAGGAGGAAATTGTATGATACCTAAGTTAAGTAAACAACGCACGAGTACAGTGGCGTTTCTGGAGGAATGATAGGTGGTGTGTGTGTGGGGGGGGGGGGGGGGGGGAATGGATGCCCGGGTGGCACTTTTTTTTTCAAATTTTTTACCAAAATATCGAGTGGGTGGGGGGGTGGGGGTGGGGGGTAGTAAATCAAGCTCAGTACTTTACGGAGAAGGTAGTTTCAAACTGATTGTGGTTGGCATAGCTATCTTAACTCTAGCCTTAGGCTTAGCCGCAATCGGTTCTTTTAAGATCTCCAGCTATACAGCATATAGTCTCGTGTGAGGTTGTGTTTTTCTTTCTATCAGTATCAGCTAGACTGGAGTTATAGTTATAGTACTGATACTATCAACAACAACAATTTTGAGTACGTTCCATTGTTTTTGTTTTTTATAACTACCCCAAAAACTTAACCCTTAACTAAACCTAAACTAAAAAGCGATATGACAGTTATCATATATAACCACGATTAGAATTACCTCTGCTGTCGGAGGGGGGGGGGGGGGGGTTAAGCATCAGTTTCGTTATATATCCAACACAATAGTGAAAATCTATAGCCCCCCCCCCCTTACCCCCGGGGGGTAGAGATGTTCGGGACACGCCCCTGCACTCATGCCAAGCCACTGGGTTCTCCATCACTCAGCCCCTCATACCCCGGGCCAAGACGGTTTTTTATTACGCACTTACTGTTCCCAGCCGATGAGGTTTGACGAGGCAAGTACAGGCTAACGGTGCCCTTAATGAAGGAAGAATGCTGGCAAACATTCCAGTGTTGTAAGCACACACGATCCCGAATGTGTGTTTGCTTGATTGATAACTTACAATAGAATTCCAGACCCGCGGAGAGAGAGACAACAGCCGGCGAAATAAAAAGGTGAAGTTAAAAAGGTAAAGTAAAAAGGTGAAGTGTATTCCAGGTAGATTTACAATATTGTTAGGTAGGCCCTGTTTCTCGGGTAGTGTAAGAAAGATAATTTCGAATACATAGGTATTGGCGAAGTGAAATGATTAATATAAATAATAATAGTACTTTTTATTACTATATATTATCGTATAATACGAAATACACATTTTAATTAATATCCTATTTGAGTTTTCATTTTTTTTCAAAGAAAAAAGTACAGTACGGGGGGGGGGGGGGAATAAGGCCCAATTGTAAAAACAAAAACCCCAACTAGGCAGTTATCCAAGTTAGTCACTTTTCTGCTATACCTCATAAGCTCGAGAAGGTTATTTATTACAGTACACATTAAACTTATTTTATATTTTATCTTCATTACTAGCTAGGAAAAGTAAAGTTAACCTTTCGGACCTAACAATCTATAGAGCAGATTTTTTTCTAGTCATCGGAATATGCCAAGCCGCCTTTTCTTTCCCTAACGTGAATTCAGGATCCCATTGAGACTTTCTGGTCAGCATTCAAGCACTCTATCACCCGACCACGCCGTCCCATAGCTAGTTTTACGAAGTATACCGTGGCACATCATAACCTTTGACCTACACTGCGCGTGCCCTCCGAGTAGCTCTTAGATACGTAGCGCAACAAATGGTATCCTGACCAGCATATTTAGCATACAGAGTGTCGTGGTATGCTAAGCAGCATATTTAGCGTCTATAGTGTCGAAGTATGCTAGGCAACATATTTAGCGTAAAGGTTACGGTGGTATGCTAGCTAGCATATTCAGCATCTAGAATCTAATGTTAGGTAGTGTTAAGATTCTATCGTTACATTTCATCAACTATAGTATGATTATATTTTAGCTTATCGGAAACGTAATCTATATTTTCTTTAGGTCGAAGTTAGTTTAATTTGAGAACTAAGGAAATATTAACTTGAATCACCGAATTCACTGTAAATAAATATTCAGCCAAAGATAAAATTTTGAAAACATTACTAAGATAATGAGATGAGATTTTTTTTCGTACCTTACGTTAATTAAAAAAAAAAGCTTTGATGAGTACAAGCAACATCCCATTAAAGTGATTGATGATAAGGTGGAACAAAAGGAGCCTGTTTTTATCTCCCTTACATGAAAAGGGCAGTAAACCGATGTACAGTTGTAGAACTTCCACATTCATAACCAGGGTTGTTGTTTTTTTTCCCACAGAACTTTTAATCAATTTTTTTAATGAGCCTTGAAATAGACAATAGTTTTAGTATGTATTTTCTATTATTATATTTACATGTTAGTAATGCTTGTGTGTGTGGGGGGGGGGGGGGCACCACTCCAGCGAAACGCCCCTGAAAAAATACACCCTTAATGTTGTCAATGATGAAGTGGAGCAAACAGGGACATGTGTTTGTCTCCCTTGCATTAAACAAGGCGAATATGTAACAGACGATGTACAGTTCTAGGGACAACCGCATTCATGTCATCAATGATGAAGTGGGAAGCCGGACCACTCTCTACACTCAAAACATGTTCACACACACATACACGTCCCTCTCAAGAAGAACGAGCTAAATTCGACAATAACTTGACCCTTGACCCTATTCACCTTCATCTTTGTTTCCCCTTACCTCCCCTGCCCCCTTTCGACTTTTTTTTGCCTCCCTTTGAATATTTCCTGCCGTCTGTTTGAACTGACGAGTACTTTCGCTTCCCGCACGTGTGACTTCCTGCGCAAAAAGCGCAGCCGCGGAGGAATGGCGTGGGAGGAACATTTCGCACCTGTTGGCTGGCTGCTCGCGCCCATGACGTCGTCGCTGGTCGTTGTATTGACGGTTATCACGTGACGATTAGCACAACTTCCGGTGGGTTTTTTTCCCCTGGCACTGCCGGGAAAAACGTGTACGAGTTATGAATACGCAATGCTAGACTTTACCCATCCAAAATATAAAGGGGTGGGGGGGATAGGGCAGGTTGTCTTTCGGAGAAACTTGGTCCAGTTTTTCAACCGGTAGGACTAAATCCTAGGTGGCA